AGCTGAGGCCTAACCAGCGTTTTATATAAAGGTTCATCATAACTTCCTGACTTTTGTATTCTATGCCCCTATTTATAAAGCCTCGTATCCCATATGCTTTTTAAACAGCTCTATCTGCCTGTCCGGCCACCTTCAAAGATTTGCTTATATGACCCCTCAGGTCTCTCTGTTCCTTCACCCCTTTAAGATTGTACCATCAGCTTATATCGCTTCTCCTCATTCTTCCTCCCAAAATGCATCACATTACATTTCTCCACATTAAACACGTGTCTGCCCATGTTACCAGTCTGTCTATGTCCCCTTGCAGTCTGCTACTACCCTCCTCACTGTTTATTACTCTCCCGAGCTTAGTATCATCCTCAAACTTGGGAATTGTCCTCCCTATACCCAAGTCCAGGTCATTTATATATATATGATCAAAAACAGCAGTGGTCCCAATACCGACCCCTAAGGGACACCACTGCACACTTCCCTCAGTCAGAAAAACAACTGTTCACCACCTCTCTCTGCTTTCTGTCTCCCAGACAGCTCTGTATCCGCTGTCACTGTCCCTTTAATACCGTGGCTTCCATTTTGCTTACAAGTGTCTTATGTGGCACTTTATCAAACGCCTTTTGAAAATCCATACTTTAATCATAAGAACCTTCTCCTCCTTCAAGTCTCATCTCCTGCTCAAACCTCATTCTCTCTGTTCCACCATCGGTGTCTGAGCTTTCAGCTATGCACTGTCCTTTGAAACTTGCTCCCAAACTCTCTTCAACTGGTTCCCCAATCTCAGCCTCAAAAACCGTTCTAAACACATCAGATCAACATCCTCCGGTGGAGTCCTGTAGCTCAGTGGTTAGAGCACTCGCTTTGCAAGTGAGTTCAATTCCAGGCAGAGGGCGAAACCTTGGGCAAGTTTCCTTACTCCACACAGAGCCTAATAATAATCCCTCCAAAACAATAATAAATTGGTCATTTTCAATCTACGACTGTTTGTGGGACATTGCTGTGCGCAATTGGCTGCCGCGTTCGCCCACAAATATACAGTCAATTCACTTTACAGTGTATTCTGTGAAGCGCTTTGGGACGTCCTCCCGACGTGAAAAGCACTATACCAAATGCAAGGATTATTATTATTATTATCCCTGACTCCCTGCTCAGTGCTCACCATCATAATTCATAAGTGTTTTGAGATGTTCATTCTATTTGAAAGACTCTTTATAAGTTCAAGTTGTTCTTCTATACTGTTAACATTCTGTCCTCACTGTTTTGCTTGTTTACTCCCCGGTGGTTGTTTCTGTTTCATTTCTTCTTCATTTCAATTATTCAGTCACATTTTGTTTGTTCCATTGTTTTCTCTTCCGCTCTCCTATTTTCTCTCTTTTTCCCATATCTTTAGAGACACTGAGATTCATGACTGAGTTGGAAGAAAAAAATTCTTAAAAAATAGAGAGATTAGGGGATATGGGGATAGGGCAGGTAATTAGAGTTAGGTCTGAAGATCAGCTATGATCTTATCGAATGGCGGGGCAGAGCTCGAGGGGTCGAATGGCCGACTCCTGCTCCTAATTCTTATGTTCTTATGTTCAACCTTCCACAAACAGCCATGAAGTGAATGACCAATTTATGTGGAGGATTGTTGGCAAATACAGAAGGAGGAACTACCTTCTGTTAACGAATAGTGGCACAGAATTTTAAAGTCCTCCTGAATGTAGCAGATTTAAAGAGACATCTGGAGCAGACCTCACTTTAAAATGTGTCCATATAATTGGATTTGAAGAGATGTTTTAAAGGAGACCTTATAGAAGTAAAAGTGACTGAGAAAATCAACCCAAAGAAATGCTTTCAGATATGCCAAGATAGAAGAACAAGATCAGGAAGTCCCATTACACCCTCCCCACACACACACACACACACACACACCACTCCTACCAGTTTGTGTGCCATTGTAATGCACTTTGAGATGCCCTCCAGTCAGTGAAAGGCCCGTATTATATGAACGTTGTAAGACCTTTTAATGACTGGAATGTGTTACCACTAAGAGTCATTGAGACCTGGACAGTGGACTTATTAAAGAAACAGTTTGATTCTGTAATGGGTGATAAGGTGAAAATTCTGAAAGGATATAATAATAATGCTTGCATTTGATATAGCGCCCTATCGTGTCTTTGATATGTCTCAAAGCTCTTCACCGAATATAGTATAAAGTGAATTGATTGTATATTTTGTGGGCGAAATGCGATAGCCAATTGCGCACAGAGCGTCCCACAAACAGTCGTAGATTGAGTGACCAATCTTTTTTTGAAAGAATTACCCCCGGAAAGTGATCCACCAATCGACTAACAACTGGGTTCCTATTTACTGCGAGGTAAACAGAGGCATGTGGAGTAATGAAATTTGCCCAACACTTTGCCCTGCATGGAAATCAAATCCTGGTCTTTCGCTTGCGAGTCGAGTGCTCTGACTACTGAGCTACAAGACTCCTACAAGGCAGGATGAGATCAAATGGGCCAAAAAGCCTTCTTCATATTACTCAATCAACTGGGTTCATCCAATGAATATAATCCTTCTGAAGACTGAGTACTATTTGTATTTAATGTGATACATACATTATGCCCAATGGAACCTCACCTCAGTGACTAGGGTACATCTCCCCCTAATCTGACCTCCTTCTATACTATTGGCTATATCCAAGACTTAGTTATGCGGGCAATTTTCTTTCTAGTTAGCAGATAATAGTGGCCTCAAATTTCATCTTATGGTCTGTAGACCAATTTGACTTAATATTGAAGATCATGCAGAGTTGTGAACAATTCTGAAATTCAGCCTTGATTTGAAGGGCCCCCTTTCAAGAACTGCAAAAAAATTGTCTTTTAACGAATAACAAATTAACAAATTACACTGTATAGCACCTCTCACATCAGAAGGACATTCCAAGGCGCTTTCCAATTAGGCCTCAATTTAAACATTTTCCATAGTTTTCCGCTGCCTTAACTTAGGTCACTGGGCCACTAATCAAGAGCAGCCGTGAATTTGCCCTGCAAATTCTAGCATAAACCAGACAGACAGAAGCTCTGAAGTCAGGCAGTCGGGAGAGTGTGCATTGCACACTGCTTGTTCCCAGAACTCAATCCACATTTCCTGTCTTGACCCTTGTAGTCAATTTTACTTGACACCACATTACTTTCAAATATAGGTTCTATTAACTTTTGAGCAGACAAATCAGCTACGCTGTATCCCTTATACAGATATAGTAGGCAACAGACAGAATCAAAATTATATTATTCACTACTCCTCCTTTCACTTTTAATGGGAACTTTCTTATTGGAGGTAAATTCCCTCGCCCTGTACATATACATAGATACAGTAGAATCAATATCGATTCCATTGGGAAGTGCGCTGGCCTCCACACAACTCCAATTATTCCAACTACTCCATCTTTCCTTTACATGTTTCTAACTCCACCTTCCCCTTGTCACAGAGATGCTTCCCAGGCTACTTTACCAGAGGGAGAGAGAGATATGGACAACTTCTGGCCAGCCTGCCACAACCTGCTTGTTTCTCAGCCTTAAGATAGGCAGATGTCTGAGGCTGCAGCCTTTTTCTCTCTGTGGTCCATTGTACTTACATCTATGCTCAAGGACCCGATTGCTCATTATCCCACACGAGTGAACTTCTTCCAAGGAAAATATGAAACGTAATCAGAAGCTAATCTCAACCCGTCCAGCAAAGCTACTTTTAACCCACAATTCTTCTGTAACATTCGGTTACTGCTATCAATATATCAAAGTATCCCAAGGTGATAGTCAGTATATTTCAACACTCTGGAGCTTGACGAAAATATGACAGGAATGTAACCATTTTAATCTACCCATTTCAATCGATGCGAGAAACCAAGAGAAATGTTTTGGGATTTGGCTACTGCAATGATGGATGTTTGGTGAGTTACAAGGTGGTTTATTTAAAGGTTTGGTGTGGACAGAGCCATAAACAGCCAGGGTGTAATAACAGCTGTAAACAAAAGCTGTCTGAAATCGGAGGCTGGAAGCGAGGCCTGAAATCACTCACTTAATATTTTATAACACATTTGTTCTCTGCCTGCTTTCTGATGGTTGTCAGCAGCACCTGTCAGTGTAGACATCAAAGCCCACATCTTTGATTCAAAGTGATATGTACGTCACAAGAAAAGACTTTTTACTATTGCAGCACTGTATGCATATGAAAGAAAACTCTGGCTGATTACTGGGATATGTTATTCCTCAGCATACATTATAGAGAAAATAATTAATACCCAGGAGTGATTACACAGCACAAATCTCATTTCCCTCCTCCTTCTCCAAAACTCTAGCTTGAGCAAGTTTATGGCATCATCTGAGGTCCGAGCAAGGCTCAAAATCAATGAGCCATGATGTCTACACAGAGAGATTAATAAATGTGCTTCAAAAAGTAAACTGTACATTACCAGGAAATAATCATCAGTGCATTTTTTAAAATTCCACTTCACACAAGCCTGTGTATATTGCGGTGAGAGACGGTTCCCATCTGTCCAAGTCACATCTCTTTCCATGACCTGATTTGAAAGGCAGTTCGTCATTGCTGAAAAGCAACAACTTATTTTGGAGAAAAAATAATAATCCTCGCATTTGATACAGCACTTTATCACGTCATTGAGACGTCTCAAAGTGCTTCACAGGATACACTGTAAAGTGAATTGACTGTATATTTTGTGGGCGAGACACAACAGCCAATTGCGCACAGCAGCGTCACACAAACAGCTGTGGATTGAGTGACCAAATTATTATTTTTTTTGAAGAGATTATTACCTCCGGAAAGCGATCCACCGATCAACTGGCAACCAGGTTCCCACTTACTGCTCGGTAAACAGAGGTGTGTGGAGTAACGAAACTTGCCCAAGGCTTTTTCCTTTACACTGCGTTTACATTTTCTTCTCTTCACTCAGCCTCGAATGTTGAATCCTTTGTACATTCAGGCCACTTACAATAAAGGTTGAGATATACAGACAAACGATACTGATTTTATTCTTTTGCCATAAAAAGTTACATGAAAAAGTCTGTGTCACAGATTTGTATAAAGTTATGAGTAACCAAACATGTCATTTCAATATATAAAAAGTATAAATAATTTCAAAGAAACACAGCAAAATCTAAAAATGCCACTAGTTTCATTTTAATACATTGGCAAATTCAGTAACGTAAAAATATTTTAGAGGGATATTTAAAAAAAACAATAGAACTTACTTCAGCAAAAGAAAAATCCAGTGAGTTTCAGCAGTACACCTCACAGCCAGACTATCATGGAATAAAGCTCTCTTCCACTCCTACTCTCCCGCAAGAATTTAGATGATTGGACATAAACGATCATTTTGTTGGGTTGGTTCTGGATTGATTTTTGACACGTTAGAGAGGAATCAATGGGAGCTCAATGCAAACCAGTTGTTGGGTGGTCGGTTTAAGGTAACAAATTAAATTGTTGATCTTTGCATACGACCCAGAGCCTAAAATGATTCAACATCACAAAGTGCTTCACAAAAGTAATTATTGTCAAGTGTAGTGCTTTTGTAATCAAATACAGCAGCTGATTTGAACACATCAAATTTGCACAAATAGCTATGAGGCGAAAGACTAATTAATCTAGAGGACAGAAAATTCTCTCTGTTTTCCAATAGTGTCCTGAGACTTTTAACATTTACCTGAACAGACAGACGGGACCTCAGTTTAACACCTCATCCAGAATCTGGCACCTCTGACAATGTAGTGCTCCCCAAGTACTGTACTGGAGTGTCAGCCTGACTGTGAGATCAAGTCCCAACATGAGGCATAACCCACAACCATTACATTCTATCCAGTGTTAAGTGGGGATGAGGCCTGTCCTTGCTGGGCAGCTGCACTTTAGTCTAACACCTCATCACTGCTCAGCTCTGCCAATGTATAATTTGCGGAGGCCGAGAGTATTGGATACCGTATTGGGTTTTACTGGTAAGTAACTTTGACACAAAAGGTGGCCTCATTCTTCTCCTCCTGGTCATTGATGAAGATCAGTATTTCCTCCACTCCTGGGGCCTGGCCTGGTGCGAAGCGCAGGCCAATGCTGTAAGTCTCACCACCTCCCACCTGGAACACACCGCAGCTTGTAAACAAATGGTTCTGTATTCAGCAGGCACGATCATCGAAGAGTAACAACTGTTAAAAGTGTGTGGAGCTGCAGTATTCTGCTGGTGTAAGTGTGTCGGGGTATTAATGTGCTACAACAATACTGGATCTAGAAGGTGCCCAGTGGCAATTCACCAGGTTAATACCTGGGTTGTAGGGGTTTAGCTGGAACATTTCACCTTTAGCAATATGCAGTGTTTTAATGGAAAAATTCCATTAGTGGAGGACATCAAAGGTGCTGCACTTAACACCAGCCAGAAACTCAGCCTACCTCCATGTTACAGAAAAGGGCCATCAAGTTTGTCCTGGTATTTTTCTCCACATGAGCCAATTCATCTAACATTGCTCCTTCCCCACACATCATAATAATCCTCCTCTTTAAAAATCTACTTCTCTTTTAAAAGAATTCTGGCCTCTGTTTCCACAAGGGTTTGTGGCAGAGGATGACACCGTCTCTAAGAAAGGTATTTCTAATTTCAATTCTTTGTGATTCCATTTTAAAAGAATCTTGTTAAGTCCATTAAAACAAGTATGAACATGTTATTTAAACTCATTGCAAAGCCACAGACTGCATAAAATCCTCAAAAGGTTAAATAGGAGCACGCTACTTTAAATAGAAAGATCTTTGCTTAGAATTCCTGTCTTTTCCAGAAAGAATATAATTCATTACCTCAAAATAGTCCTCTTTGTACCGGAGTAAGTCTGCTCGGTTAGTCCTGAGGAAGAACACTCGCTTGGTAGGATAGAGGTTGGTGTAACTGATTCGCTTTGTGGAACCCTTCCCTTCCCTGACAGGAATAGTGACCTCAAAAGCCTTCAACAAGACAGTAATGTTAGAGCAAACTTTAGAACACTGGCAAAATTTACCACTTATATTAACAGTCCTTGCATTTGATACAGCGCCTTATTACGTCCTCCAGACGTCTCAAAGAGCTTCACAGAATATACTGTCAAGTGAATTGATTATATATTTTGTGGGAGAAGCATGGCAGCCAATTGCACACAGCAGCGTCCCATAAACAGATGTGGATTGAGTGACCATTTTTTGTAAGGATTACACCCAGAAAAGTGATTGGCCCATCAACTTAACTGGATTCCTACTTACTGCGAGGTAAACAGAGGTGTGTGGAGTAAGGAAACTTGGCTAATGTTTCACTCTGCCCGGGAACCAAACCCTGGTCTTCTCCCTTGCAAGGTGAGCACTCTAACCGCTGAGCTACAGGACTCCACAAGACTTATATTGCAGACTGCTTAGACCACTGTTTTTTTTTGGCTTCAGACGTAACCCAACAACAAGGGTGAAGGAAAAGCGTTCAGTGCTGAATTCTTGAGCCTTGACAGCAATGCATTTTGGCAGCAGTGCAAAAGGTGCTGGCAATATCTACTGTTATCGAATGCAATTTAATTTCATAAAAATCGATCGCTCACTTTGAAGACAGCCATACCCTTGGCTGACACTTAACTCACAGCCATGACAACAACTTACACCTAGATAGGGTAAGGTAGCGTCTCAGAGCGCTTAACAATGGTTGAGCCTGACACCGAGCCGGTGGGGGTGGGGGGAGACGAGGTGAACATGAGCACAGTAGAAAAGGAAGGTTTTCGGGCGGAATTTGAAAAAGGGGAGAGAGAGGGGGCAAAGTGGAGGAATTGAGGGAGTGTTCCAGAGTTTTGGGGCATAGTGGCTGAAAGTGTGACCTCCAACAGTAGAGCGGAGTGTGTGAGTGATGAGCAGGAGCCAGTCGAGTGGAGGTGTCAGGTGGTGGATTGGGGAGTGAGGAGGTTGGAGAGGTCGGGAGGTGTCAGGGAGTGAATGGATTTGAACACGAGAGTGAGGCTTGTGAAGTCGGTTGGTTCAGGGAGCCAGTGGAGCCTGGGCCAAAGCTGGTGAGATGTGGGTAGGGAGTTTGGTCCAGGTCAGAATGCGGGCGGCTGAGTTCTGAATATTTTTGCAAAATGAGCAATTTAAGTACTTCCTGCAAGCAGGAAGTTAGATTCGATTAATAGATATATGTTCAGCACAGAAGGAGACCAAACAGCCCATTGTGTCCTTGCCTCTGATTTTTTGTTGTTGTTTTTATTAATCCCACTTTCCAGCTCTTTACCAAGAATCTGCTGCTCTATCCTCATCTAATCAGCTCCTCCCCCTTTGGCCTGGGCGGAGTAGAGAAGGTGCTGTAGTTTTGCAACCCCAGCAAAGTTGTACCAGCGTAAACTCCATTACCTTGGAAATAAAAGGCTGCCCACAGGCTACATACATCAGCCAGGAAGCCACCAGCTGCCGATACTCGATATCCACCACATTTAGGTATATGCACCTGTTGCCATCTCTCTGGGGGCGTAGAGTAAGGTGTAGGTCCTTGACGGAGTGTGGTGGAAGTACAAAGGCACCTGATGGCTCAATCTAGGTGAAAAAAAAATGATATTAAAGCTTCAACAACCATCATTGGTCTGCTCTGCTGGGTTTTAAAGGAAATATTCTTTGAAGGAGTGAGCATGCCAGAGAACACACCTTTCTACGTTATAAATTGACCTAGTTGGTACATTTAGCCTGACTTTGAGCAATTCATTTACATGTGAGACAACCATTTGGTGGAACTTCTCTGCGTCTAGTTTCAATGCAAAATCACAAATGACCTTTTCTTTGGTCTTCCTAATTTATGAAGAAAATGCTTTCAATATTAGAAAATATTGCTGCTAAAGACACATACAAAGGTACACACTGGATACTGCGTGAGCATATTATTGTCACGAGTTAGCAAGAGGTCTTCACAGTCAAAAAGTATTGTAATCCCTCCCAGTCGGTACTGATGTCCACAGCCGTCTTGGTTGAAATTAGTAACTCGGCACAGACCAACATTCTTATTTATAATTTATAGTATCTTTTGAAAAAAGGGTAATAATAATAATAAACCTTGCAGTAGATACAGCGCTTCATCTCACCTTCGAGTCGTCTCAAAGCGCTTCACAGGATATACTATCAAGTGAATTGACTGTATGTTCTGTGGGTGAAATCTCCCTGGCAATGATAACGATGCCAAATCTCACTGGCTAGAGGTTTACTGTCAAAGGTGCTGTTACCTGGAGCTCGTGCGGGTGGGAGGTGTAAGCCGCCACCGTTCTGACCGCCTGTGTGCCTCGTAGGACCAGTGAGAGCTGGGAGAGCTGCCCCATCACACAGCTGACATCCACCCGGTTCAGGGAGTGTATATAGAACTGCCAGATCTGGATGGGGGTGGCCAGCCACAGGTCCCTGTAAAACACCCAGCACGAGGGAGTTAGTGTGGAACCGGCCCCACTCCATTCCTCACTGCCTTGAAACATCAACTAGCAGACAAAAGATTGAAAGTGGGACTAATAATAAAGTGAAAAACAATAATAATCTAGAATGCCTATAATACTGAAAAGTCTCAAAGCGCTTTACAGGGAATTGAGACTCGTGTAGTGTGCGGTTGGGACTTTCCATGATAATAATAATAATATTCCTCGCATTTGATATAGCACCTTATCACATCGCTGAGACGTCTCAAAGCGCTTCACAGGATAGACTGTAAAGTGAATTGATTATATTTTGTGGGCGAAAAGAAGGTGGATTAAAATACAATCAGCCACTCACATGTAAACCATGATAAAGAATTTGTTAATCTGTGGGCTTGGACCACAGGACACTTTCAGGAACACATCCTGTGGCTCGTTGCGGTCCTGAAAAAAATAAAAAGCCTGTTTATCTTCAAACAAGCAAACAAAGCCAAAATGAAGATGCAACCAATTGTTAGTAGAAATGGAAACCAAGAGGCTCTTTGGCTGTTTTTGCTATTATACTGATAATTAATGTGCTGGTTTAACACCAAGGCTTGCAGAGCTTGTGTGTGTGTGTGTGTGCGCGTGAGTGTGAGAGTGAGTGTGTGTGAGTGAGAGTGAGTGTATGTGTCTGTGTGTGAGAGTGTGCGTGAAAGATCCAGTGCTCCTATATCACTCTAACGTATCATATAATATGTCTCTCGTGGTTAGCTTTAGATTGTAAGGGTTTGGGAAAATTCTGAAGGTTAATTTAGAAATCTCTTTCACGTCGGGAGGACGTCCCAAAGCGCTTCACAGAACACACTGAAAAGTGAATTGACTGTATATTTGTGGGCGAACGCGGCAGCCAATTGCGCACAGCAATGTCCCACAAACAGTCGTAGATTGAAAATTACCAATATGTTATTATGCTAAACACCATGTGCTCTAACCACTGAGCTTAAAAAACAGAATCAAGATATAATTAGAAGAAAGTTCAGGGGAATCTCACATTTTAAGATAAAATTTACTTTACTTAAAGCTAAAACCATACTGTCCTTAAGTTTCAGGGGCTCCATGGAAATCTCTGCCCACTGAAACAAGCTGCTCATGGTTAATCAGATCAGGATTGCAAGGAGAACGTGGAGAGTGTGAAAGCTGCTCCGAGCCGAGGGAACTTGTCACGATAAACAGGATCAGGGGAAGCGTCAGAGCACAAACATCACCCACGGAATACAGAAGTGCGCACTAAGTTTTACTCCACAGGCTTTGGCAAAAAGTGAATGAGAAAGCTGAAAGTATTGTCAGCAGTTCCCAAAGTAGGAAGTGATTCACAGGTTGGACATTAAATAATATTCCTTCTGGGTAACGACGGCTCCTTCTGTTTCACACTACACAATGATTCACTGTGGATTTTCTCTCAGGAGACAACGGCATCCAGTGCATAGCGAGCCTCTGTACAGGTGCTTCACTGGATATCACTCTGAAGCTGTTCGGCAGTTACACACAGAAAAGCTGCCTATAAATTATGACTGGGCTGTAACCTCATTCAAGGATTCAAATGAGATCATAAAGCAGAATAGTTATAGACCAATTATGTTTGGCCAATTCAAGATACATTGAAGCATTAAAATAACTCAATAGCATTTTGTAAATAACATCAATTGGAAGTCAAATTTGGATTAAATGAATGAATTGGTCTATCACACAGAACAAAGCAGACACTTACCATTTTCTTGGTTTCACAAATGATATTAGAATCACTGCAGCGAACATTGATTTGGAGCTCATCAGTCTGTGTTTGAACGTGAGTACCTGGAAGATTCAAGTTAAGATGTAAAATAGGACAGACAGCAGTGAGAACTGTAGAAGCACAGAACAAATTCCAGCAAATCCAGATCTGCAGAGTACTGGGGAGGGGTCACTTTGCCCTTTGCTCACAGCAGACAGAGTTAAACAGTCACACATCAGCTTCGCTCAGTGGACCCCACTGGCCTCTGGGGCAAAAGGTCATGGGGTCCAGTCAAATTCCCACATTTGAGCTTAAAGCCAACGCTGACGCTGTCTTGGACGAGATGCCTTGGCTGCCTGTTCAGAGGGAAATTAAAGATCCATAGTTTATCCAGTCAAAAATTCTCCAGATACAACAGCAAAATTACATTTGTTTAGCGCCTTTCACGTTGGGAGGACGTCCCAAAGCGTTGGACACTCAGAGTTACGGACCCGAGCTGGAGGTTGGTATCCGATATGGTGGAGGGCAGTGGGGGGGGGGGGGGGCGTGGGAGCAGGGTGATCAAAACCACAGTCGAAGAGGAGGATTTTGAGATGGGTCTTGAAGGAGGCAAGGGAGGGAAGCAGAGGGACTGCGGAATGCAGTTACAGAGGTTGGGTTAGGGTTTGACCAGGGCTGTTTCTGTGCTGTGGGCGGCACGGAAAACCAATTGGAGGGGTTCGTGAAAGGAGTGGCAGGAGAGGAAGGAGCGAAGCTGGGAAGCAACAACTTGTTTCAGGACCTTAGAGAGGAAAAGGAGATTGGAGATGGGTTGGTAGTTTGAGAACAGTGATGGGTACAGGGAGGGATTTTTAAGGATAGGAGTGATGACAGGCATTTTTAATGGGGTGGGAACAGTACCAGTGGACAGGGAGAGATTTATGATGTCTGTGAATAGAGGGGCAAGAAGGTGGAGCTGGGAGGTAAAGAGAGGGGTAGGGGATGGAGGTTGAGGGAGTAGGTGGTCGGTTCATGCGGGTTATAGTGGTGATGAGAGAGGAGTGGGAGACTGTTTCGAAGGTGTGGAGGGAGGGATGGGTAGAGGCCGGGGTGGGAGGGAGAGATGGGGAGGGGGTAGAGGGGGGGACAATCTTATAGTCCGAGTCCAGGCTGAGAGATTCAAAGTTGGCGGGCGCATGGGACATCAACCAGCAGCCGGTCTCCGGTTGGATGTTGACCAGGAGAGTCAGCAGTGGCGAATCCCACGTTGGCTGTGGCTCAGGATCAGGGAGGTGGGCCTCGGTCCCCGGTCCTGGAGTCGAGGGTGGAGGCAGAGAGATAGAGCCAGGTGTCATGCGCGTAAATTAATCATTCACTTTTACGGCTGTTTTATGGGACCTCAATGTGTGCAAAATGGCTTTCATGTTTGCCTACCTAACATGTCACTAAAAGTAATTACTGTGAAGTGCTTTGAGATATTGACATATTAAACCAAGTTCTTTCCTTTATTCAAGCACACCCAAAATGTGTCAGCTTGGATCAGCTGGCAGCAGCTGACCTCCAATTCAGAAAGTTGTGGGTTCAAGTCACATTTCAGGACATTGAACTCAATCTAAACTGACACTCCAGCACAACAACAACTTGCATTTTGTACAGCGCCTTTGACCTGGTATCGTTTGTTAGAGCGCTTAACAATACAATGCTGGAGCAGAGGGGCATCATTGGCAGTGCCACCCTTTGAATGAGACATTAAATTGAGGTCTTGTCTGCTTGTTCAGATTGAGTGTTAAAGTTAGAGTTTAGATAATCTATTTTGCAGGCGTATGGGGAGTGGGATTGAATGGACAGCTCTTTTCAATGACCTGGCATAGACACGATGGGCTGAATAGCCTCCTTCTGTGCTGTATAATTCTATGATTCCCAAGGAGCTATTCGAAAAAAGGACGTTTCTCGCAGTGTCCTGGTAAAAAATAAAACAGATAAAATTGGTGGCACACTTCATGTTGTTTGTTCGTGGGACATTACAATGCACAAATTGGCTACCATGTTCATCTACAAAATACAGTCACTATGTTTTACCGTAATTCCTGTGAAGTGCTTTGAAAAGTCCTTCAATCAACGTGAAAGGCAATATCAAATGCAAGGTTCATTATTATGCTGGCCAGTCATACAGGTCAACAGATCAGCAGGCTTTTCTAACTATGTTTTGGTTCCGCTTGTAAAAAAACCAGGCTTCATCCATGGTTGCACACTTCACCCCACTGAGCCAGTCCAGAACCGTGGGGTATTGTTTGACCCTCAACTATCCTTTCTACCCCACATCTGTGCCATGACCCGCTCTGCCACATCACCCGGCTCCGCCACTGCCTCACCCTTCAGGCCTCCAAAACCTTCATCCACACATTCATATCTAGGCTCGACTACACCAACTTGCTGCTTGTCGCCCTTCCCAACTCCACCCTCCACAGGCTACAGACCCAGAACTCTGCAGCTCATGTCCTCTCTCACACCAGGCTCCGTGACTCTAGCACCTTCACCCTCGCCCAGCTCCATTGGTTCCCCATGCCCCAGAGGATAGGGTTCAAAATCCTCGTCATCGCTTTCAAGGTCCACCATGGCCTTGCTCCTTCCTACCTCTGTGACCCATATCAACCTGTCCACTTCCTCCGCTAGCAGGCTCCAGCCTTCTCCACATCCCCTGCATGGCCCGCCCCACCATCAGCAGTTGGGCCTTAGCCTTCTCTGCCCCACATTTGGTACTCCATCCCAGTCCCTTCGCCTCGCTCCCTTCCTATTTCAAGGCATGTCTTAAGACCCTCCTCTTAGACCACACCTTCACCCACCTTCCTACCCGTACCCTCCCTCCCTGCCCTTCCTGATCCCAACTCCTGCTCGGGTCCAAATCCTTGACTTCCAGCATCCAGCGTCCTCCTGTCATGAAAGCCACTATACAAACATAATTTTGTATTGTAATTTTGTATTTAGATCACAGTTACTGAAGCCTATATTTTGCACATTTGTGATTTGCGGAGGGTAATTTAAATAGCAGTCAGCCATCACTCCAAGTCTGTCATCGGGGTTCAGATGGACATCATACTTACAACTCTGTCTGTCAAAATCTAACAACTCAATGGGGAAAAAAAATTAGTGCCATATAACTCAAGAGTAATAAAGAGAAACCAGCAGCAGTATTCGATTTACAAGAGACATCAGTCAGAGCAAGCACCAATTCAGCTGTTGAAATTGTTCTGTATAAAAAGACAAATGGTGTCAGATAAGAAAATTCTGGCATCAACTGTAAACTACAAGCAATGGTGCTGAATGCACCATCATCTGTAATGTATCTGGATCATTTCCTACACTTTGTTCCATCAGTACCATGCCAGCCTTCTCCAGATGCTCACTCTAAACAAGCCATCAGGTGCACTTCTACTGATGAGAACTAACAATAGCATGAAATAGATTACGATTAGTCTGTTCAAGATAGTAGAGATATTACAAGATATTATGCTAGACAGCTGCTCAGTCCAAAAACTTTCCCTATCAAATGACTGACTGGAAATTCAAGGCTCCTTACATTAAAGTTACTGCTGGAGTTTGAAAAAAAGGTTTTAAATTCTTCAATCCAACCTGCACTACAGGAGTGATAGCTGATGACTATTTTTAAAGAGATATACTTTTCAAAACTATAATCTCATGGACAAAATAATGTTCAAAGCAAAAAAATGCCAATTAAACAGAGGAATGTTTGGAATGTTCACAAAGCACTCAAACAGATCAAATCTATGACAAGGAGCTGATGATACCGAGCAATGCAGAACAGAGTTTAATAGTATTGAAAGGAATTTGTACGAATTAAGCAGATGTGTCGAGAAGCATATAAAGGAATGGAAAGTAATGCATAACCAGAATGGAACACATGAAACATGCATAAGCGCTCTGAGACGCTACCTGCTCGAAGGACACTATATAAATGCAAGCTGTTGTTGATATATTCACTAGTGTTGATATGTTCACTAGTAAACCTGAAAAAGGCCATTTTCTGAAAATCCATTCACTGAGGTTAATTCAGAGATTAATTATAATTTGCATTTATACTGCATTTTTCTTATAATAAGAACATCTCTAACAACTCATGTACCTGCAAAATGATAAGCAGCTGCTTCTCAAGCTCCTCACTTCTAAGTGGTTGAACCATGGCTCAATGAGGGATTTGTGTGGGTAGAATTGTGGCAAGGCGGTGTGGGCAGGAATTCCCACTCAGCTCCTGTTAACCCTGAGGGCCAAAGGCTCAATAGGTAGGGTGGTCCTCGCTGAACAAGCAGCAGGAAGCTTGCCAGATCATATTCCTAATGGCAAGCTATGCAGTTTTAACTGGTTAAGTTCAGCAGTATCCGAACACACTGTGGAATTTCCAAGCCTTGATTCTAATCAATCTGCGCCTAATAGATTTCCAATTTAGTTAAGCAGGAATCTTTCTCAAGGGAGAGAGTGTGTATTCCATGTGCAGGGAAACTTTCACTTTCACGTGGCATAGATATGTGGAGCTCAGTCTGGCTCGGATACTTTTAAGCATTGTGATTGGTTTCTGCTGGCTGGTCAAAAACAAAAGATCAAGACCTGAAAAAAAGATTTACGAGGTAGATGAGACAAGTTCTATCCCTTCTGAAGCCTTGTGTTGCTATTTATTAGATTATTTTTACATAGATAAATCCTCTGTTTTCTTCCTGATGACTGACTACATCAGTTTTCCATTTGTTCGGGTGAAGTTAATAGGTCTGTGTCTGTCAAGAATGATTCTTAAATTTGGGAATTGCATTTGCTTCCAGTCTGTTGGAACTTCATGAGCAGTGATTGACTCTCTCAGTGTTTCACAAATCTCCTTCCCTGTGGTTCTAAGTGCCCTGGTGTCCAATTCATCTGCTCCAGTCGATTTTCAGTCCCTGAGCCTATGAAGAATCTCAGCCCCACTTAAGTCAAAGTCCTGGAGCTCAAACAATGTTTTCTGGATGGCATATTTTTAGTATCATTCCTAGTAAAAAAAAACCTCCAGGAGGTAGTTGATTAATGTGTTATTATCTCCTGTTCATTCTGGGTACTAAAGAGTTTTAACATCTTCCCTTGTTTGGGTCAGACACACTTGGACACCCATCACCACACTTAAGAGTATCCAAAGCAGACAAGGTTCCATGTACGTCACCTACACATGGAAATATATGTGTCTGGAATGGAATACACAATCTTGCACTCTGCTTACCTAGTTCTGGAGAGTATTAGTTGCAGGTTGGGAAGAGCCAAAGTTTGGGGACCCCGAAGTGTGTGTTGGGGTACTGCTAGAGTTTTAACAGATAAAAACGCACAGCTTGCCACTGTCTGTCAAGCTTTCCCACTGCGTGTCTAGGTAGGACCACACTACCCGTTGGGGCTTTGGCTTGAGGGATTAACAGGAGCTGGTGGGTAGAATCCCTGCCCTCAGTGGCCATTCTGAAATTCTATCGTCAAGCACATCACCTTGGAGCCAGTTCAGCTCTAAGGAGACCCTGTTTACCTTCTTCCCATCCCTGGGAATTGTCACTAGTTGGTCACCTTCCCTATCTACCCTCTTACTGTTGTAATAATTAAACCTTTTTTGACATTAAATTTTGCATTTGCAGCTTTGCCTTTTCCAATTCTCTCTTGGCTCCTTAATCTCCTTTTTTAAATCTCTTTCTGTAAAGTCTTGAATTCAGTTTTGTGGTTACCCTCTGCTTTCTCATCACGAGCCTTTTTCATTATTATCCTTTTTTTCCATTTAATCTTCCTTTTTATTTCCATTGAGCTCATTCTGAGACATTTATTGTTTAATTTTGCATCGCTGCATTTGGATATCTGCTTGCCCTGCATAATAGTTTTGAAGGATGCCCCTTAATCCTCAACTGATTTGTCCTTGAATAATGCCTCCTAATCTGTGTCACCTAGGTCAGCCACAGAACCATAGAAATGTGCAACACAGTAGGAGAGCTTCCATCTTACTGTTCGTGTCCATGTTTGCTCCTCCAAGGGTCCCGTCCTAATCCCAATTCCCCGCTCATTCCCTGTACCCTCTAATACCCTTCGCCTTGATGTGTTTGTCTAATTCTCTTGTGGAAAGGGTTTTTCACAATTAATTCTTCAAATCTTTTATTTATAATAAAAAAAGGAGAAAGGAAAAGGTAACTGCTAAGCTGAATACGAGACTGTACAGAAAGAGGTTTAAAAAAATGAGATTAGGGGAGTCGAGAGAACTCAAAAGCAGAAAATGTTATTAAATATTAATACCCATTTTTAAAAAGAATTATAGCTTTCCAACTGCTTGAATGTGCTGGAAAAGAATGCACAGGTAGGGTGGGGGGGTTGGGGGGGTGAGACTGAATTCATGCACTGAATATTCAAAGGTCAAAGAACAAAGACAAGGATAGTTCAAGAACGGGGGTCTATTTAAGCAAATAGAAGCCAGAGGGCTTTTGCAAATTTCACCAGACTGTAAGATTGATGAAATATGATGTGCAGGTCTTCAAAATGCTGAGAGGTACATCTTAGGTACATGTAAACCAGCTGCTTAATGTGATCTGTGAGGTCAGAACTAAACGTGAGCATGTGGGTTAGGTTGAAAGCCTCCAAGCAAATGAGAAGAAATTGGCGCACTTCGTCTGGTTACCTCTTCCTGCCTTCAAAAATCTCCCAAATTGTAACTATTCCATAATGCATTTGATTTTCTCATTTCCCTGTTCGGTCAGTGAACACCACTACAGATGGCAAGCACTTTAAAATGTTCTTTTACTTGACCTTTGGTCATCGACTTGAAACGTTAACTCACTTTCCTCTCTCCATAGATGCTGCCTGACCTGCTGACTGTTCCCGGCGACTTCTGTTTTTATCTTAGATCTCCAGTATCTGCAGTATTTGCCTTTTGAATAAAAATTCTGTTGAGGAAAGGGTTTGCAGGACACAGAGTAGCACTTAATCAGAGACGTTACCTGGCATTGTGTGCCACGGAGGGAGCCGAATGGATTTCTTCAGGAAGGTGAACTCAGGATGGTAAAAGCGGAATGTCTGATCGATGACATATGGCTGTGATTCAACATTCACCTGCAGTATGGCTATCGGCTTACCATCTTCGGTTTTAAAATGGACCTGAAAACAGAGAGTTTTAACAACAACAAATGACATTTACACAGCGCCTTTCACATCAGGAGGACGTCCCAAGGCACTGGCCAGTCAGGGATTTGGACCCGGGCTGGAGTTTGGGATCAGGAGGACAGGGAGAGTAGGAGTAGGAGGGTCAAGTGGGATGTTTCTGTGCTTTAAACATTCTATGATTATACGTACTCTGATCTTCTTGGCTGAGAGAGTGTTGGACTCCAGCTGATTACCAACGTTTGGGGTTTTACACAATCTGAGATCAGACGGACCCTAGGACAGAAAAACACAATGTGTCCTGTAGCTCAGTGGTTAGAGCACTCGCTTTGCAAGCGAGACACCTGGATTCAATTCCAGGCAGAGGGTGAAACCTTGGGCAAGTTTCCTTACTCCACACAGAGCCTAATAATAATCCCTTCAAAACAAAACAATAATAAATTGGTCATTTTCAATCTATGACTGTTTGTGGGACACTGCTGTGCGCAATTGGCTGCTGCGTTTCACCCACAAATATAGTCAATTCACTTTACAGTCTATTCTGTGAAGTGCTTTGCGACGTCTAGAAGACGTGAAAAGCACCATATCAAATGCAAGGATTATTATTATTATAAACAGTAAATATGATATATCCAGGTTGAATTTTCCCTCTTCTTTAAGCTCCTGAGTCCTTCACGCTATTTATCATGAACTGTCAAAGACCTGAGCCTCATTCCTCTTAAGCAACTCCCATATATGATGCGTCTCTTACCCGGGCCGCTGGATAGTAATTAGGAGCAGGAACCTTGGCTGATCTTCCCTCTCCCCAGCCTAACTGTGGTGGGGCCCCAACTACTGCCTTGGCTGAGATCAGCTACCTCAGCAATTCAGGGGTAAAACCTCAAACTTTCCCACTCTGTACCGCTCAGCTACTGAGTGTATAAAATCACTGAGCCACTGCGGGAAGTTCGTTCTTCAAAAGCTTCTGAAATCTGAGAAATGGCAAACATACAATTTGGCCAGTTAAAAACGTAATGTGTGATTAGAAATAAATTACATCATTACATATAAACACTGCAAAGTGCAGCATTTCTAGTGGGTTACTTTTAACATTTCCTGTCTTTTCTTCTCTCAGGTTCTTGTCTGAGTTTATACTTTGTGAGCTGTAAATTGTGTGCTGCACAGAACGGAAATGTCTAGGTGATTCTGACATGAATGATTTCCACCACTGGTATAAAATTTGATTTCCCAATATCTCACATTGACCTCTGTCAGATGCATGCAGGTGCTTTAACACATAGATTATTATATGTTTTGTCATAAACTACGTGTAATTTGAAAGCAGAAGAATAAAGGTCCTAAGAAAGCTGTTTGCCGGCCTGAGTGCACCAGTGCATTCTAGATTCCCTACTAGTTGGTAAATTTATTGCTATTGCTTTAAATTTATAGTTAAGATCAAATCACAGAAGTAGGTAAATGCCATGACTGGGAACAATGCAATCCCAACGCTGATTGGGTTAATTCCTACTCCACGTGGCAATAATCAGCCATTAGTTTTTTTAATGTTATAATAAATAATAAATAAAAAATCCTTGCATTTGATATAGTGCCTTATCACATCATTGAAGCGACTCAAAGTACTTCACAAGATATACTGTAAAGTGGATTGAGTGTGACAGCACACTGCAGTGTTCCATAAACAGCCATGGAGTGAATGACCAATTTTTATTTGGAGGATTATTGGCCAGGACACCGGGAGACAGAAACTCCCTTCTCTTCTTGAATAGCGCAGTGGGATCATTAACATCCACCTGAACAGGTAGATGGGACCTTGGTTTAACGTCTCATCCGAAGGGCGGCACAACCAACAATGCAGCTCTTCCCCAGCGTTGCATTGGAGCAAGGTGATTCCAAGTCCCTTCTGACTCAGAGGCGAAAATGCTAGCACCGGGCCAGGCTGACACTGCTGACTGACGGCCAGGCTGACATGTTACTGAAAAGTTAGTTATTCTTTAATTGTGTTGAAAGAAAGTCTGTCGAAAGCGATGGAGAAGAGAAAGAGAGTTCAGTTAGATTCCCAATGCTGCATTCATACCACAGAAGCACACATCAAATTGCCCCTAAATATGCTTCCTTGCAGTGCCATCTGGAGCAGAGCATCAGCATGATTTCCTATTTATTGCCCAGATTTATAGTACCCGTTTAAAGACAAATCACAGGAGGTACATCAAGGTAACTCTCTCTGGCCTCTCTCTGCGATTCATTGAATTAGAGGACAACTTTTGGTGTCCTTTTCAATCCTCAGCTCTCTTTCCTCTCACATTCAGCCCCTGACCAGGACTGCTTCTCTGTGATCTCTCTCTATCTCAGCCCAACTATGCCAAAACCATCATTCATACCTTTGTCACCTGCAGATGGCATTTCAAATGCTCTGCTCGCAAAAAGTCCATCATCCAACAACACATCCAAAACTCCACCACCTGCTTCCTTACCCACATCAAACATTGCCTGCCCATCATCCCCATTCTGTGCAGGATCTTCTGTCTCCCAGCAAATCAACTCCGATCCTCAACATCACCTACTTCCAGCTCCCGCAAGTCTACACAACTGTGGTTTTGACCAGCCTCACTGTTCTGTGCGGCTCCTTGTCTGAGCATACTGAGGCCAGCTGCTCGTCTCCCGCCGTGCCTCCTGCGGTTGAAGCTTCAGTCCTTGTCCTTTGGAACTCCTTCCTTCAACCACTGTCTGTCTGTCGTCAAAGGTCACTTAAAAACCTACTTCTTTGAAGGAGTCTATGGTCAACTCCCTCAGCTCAGTGCCCATTCAGTGCCCATACAACACTCTGAGAAGCTGCATAATTTCAGGTCCTTTTTCATGTGTGGTTCGGGCATGTGTTCGGGCCCACAGCAAGTTCTACACAGTGAAATCTGAGCTTGGTGAAATCCTCTCAGTAATAACCTGTCCTGTCCTGGTATGTATTGTGTTGGTACATCACTGACCTGCAAACCATGACAAATTTCACCCTTCCTATAAATTGAGAACAATCATTTTTCAAAGAAAAAGTGACGTTCTGTGGTACATAGAGTGAGTCATTTCTTTAAAATCAATTTTACAGGCACCTTGGGATATATTTGTAATTTTGGTAATAATGTTATTTTTCAGCTGCCTGTTTTCACAGAATATCAATCCAAACATGAAGGGCTAAGGTAACAGTGTACATAAAACAGTGTGTCTGTCTCCAAACTCACAGGAGGTCACCGATTGCCTACAGCATGAGCTTATCTTTACATAAACTACTTCACTGTCAAACACCTCTCACACACACAGCCTTTCCCACACTGATACCCACAGTGAAACACAGCCTTTCCACAGTAACCCTCACAACCCCTCCCACCCCAAAACACAGCACCCCCCTCTCCCCTCTCCCGCTCTGAAATGCAGCCCCCCCTTCCCCCATCCTGAAACGTGGGTGACCCTCCCCTCCCTGCCCTGAACTACAGGCCCCGTCCCCATCCCCACCCTGAAGCACAGCCCCCACCCGCACTAGTGATAAATGTGTTACTATATGTAAACAGAGATGGTGAGAGCACCTTCAGGAGTTAGCTTTGCATCCTTTAGCTTAGGGATAGATGGCTGCTGTGAGGGCAGCAAGCAAGAAACACATATTTAAATGTCAAATGAAATGCTTAAATGGTTACGTGATTTCAGCTTCAGCGCTGTGTGGTTTCTCAGTGTTAGTGATGCCGATCCTGGCCGACCAGGCAGCAGCTCTGTGCTCTGCTGACCTTAAACCCAGCCACGCACAGCGCTCTGTCGTGGTTACACATAAAGTCGTGCTTAAACCTAGCCGCGAAAAGAGCAACGCAAAGTTACCAGAGACTACATGGGTGGGTCCAGGGGATTTGTCTGCAGTTTACTCTGGGTTGGCAAATCTTTCAAATTGAGCTGAACATGTTAACAATTAACTGTAACAATTTACATACACCCAGAGCCTTCCAAACAAAAGTGGCAAATAGCTTTATAGAATTATAATCAGGAATGTAGTGTATATCTATGATGAAGGCAAATGCAGCAGCTAATTTGCACCAGATGTGTCTACAAACAACAAAACCAATATCTAGTTAATTAGAATTTTACTGCATTCAGATTGGAGGAGAAGAAATGTAAGCAGTGATAAACCTCCTTTTCTTTAAATTAGTGGCAGAGGAGTGGAGGGCTTTTACATCCCCTGAAGTAATAAGCTAAATGGAACCGAAAATCAATGACTCTGGAGAAAAAGAGACAATACAATGTGACATTTATAAAGCCCCTTTTACTTCAGGAGGATGTCTCAAAGAGCTTATGATGAGATCAAACCTTCCCAACACTTAACAAACAGCAGAAAAACCCTTTTCATTTAACTCATTACCCACTGTTTCAGGCAAGGATTCCCAGCGAGCCAGGATATTATTTTAATGCAACCCAGACCCCAGTTTAAGCTTTAACTGCAACTACCTGTGGTGGCACATAGTGGTCAGCACTGAAGGTCTGAAACTTGAACGGAATATGGACAGTCTCCTTGGGCCGCAAGTAAACCTGTGGGAATATGATGCCTCCCTGAACAAGGAACATATCCTCCTCCAGAGGCGTCAGGGTATTTGTGAGGTTCTTGAAGTGTCTCCATTCTCTGCTGTTTATGATGATGCTGCAATAGATGCAACAGATACAAGTTACGGTCTTATCCAGATCCAAATAACTAGTGTTGCTAAAGGACGACTAACAAGTCTGGTCTGCAGAACAACAACAACAAGTTACATTTACACAGAGCCTTTCATGTCGGGAGGAAGTCCCAAGGCGCTGGACAGTCAGGGATTTGGACCCGAGCTAGAGGTTGGGATCTGGAGGGGAGGAGGGCAGAGAGGGTGGGGGGTAGGAGGGTGACCGAAGGTGTATTCCAAGAGTAGGATCTTGAGACATGCTTTGAAGGAGGTGAGGGAGGGGCGAGGTGGAGGGACTGTGGGATGGAGTTTCAAAGAGTGGGGGCTCTTAGGCTGAAGGCCCGACCACCAATAGCAGTGGGGGCTGGGTGGGGGTCATGGAAGAGGCCGGAACCTGCTGAGTGGAGGGAGTAGACAGGTCTGTATGGGGTTAGACGATCGACAGAGGAGGTAGGGAGGAGTAAGGCCGATGAGGGATTTGAAGACAAGGAGGGGATTTTGAACTAGATCCTCTCCGGGATGGGGAGTCAGTGGAGCCGGGCGAGGATGGGAGAGATAGGGTGATGGGAGCTTGGTGTGGGAGTGGATACATTCTGAATGATCCGCAGCTTTTGGAGGGAATAGTGGGAAGGCAGATAAGCAGGGAGTTAGTGTACTTGAACCTGAATGTGATGAATGCATGGATGAGTGTCTCAGCAGCTTGAGGGGAGAGGTAATGGCGGAGCCGGGCGAAAAGGAAACAGATGGCAGCATGGCTCGTATTCCAACACATTCCACCAGCAAGCAGTGCTTCCACCAAGCACTGCTGCCATTCCCCGCAATCCCCAATCCTACCCCTCCCTTTCTGCTCCCTCCCCGTCCTCCACCAAGCACGGGGGGTGAGGATGGGGTGGGGAAATGCCACTTTTAGGAGAACAAAGTGGAGAGACTGGCTGGGAGAATAAGGACGCGGGAGACATTATCATTAAAATTGGAGAAAAACAGAAAATATCTGTATCAAATTCATCCTGTTGTAAATCTCATCCATCTTTTTTGGATAAAAAGTTAAACCAAGGCCCCGTCTGCCTGTTCAGGTGGACGTTAAAGATCTCATGGCGCTACTCGAAAAGAGAAGGGAGTTTCTGGCCAACAATCCCCCAAATAAAATTGGAAACTCACTCTGTGGTTGTTTGTGGGACACTGCTATGCGCATTCTGGCTAACGCGTTTCACCCACAAAATACAGTCCCTGTACTTTACAATATATCCTGTGAAGCGCTCTGAGACATCTCGACAACATGATAAGGCGCTGTATCAAATGCAATATCAATAAGTTTGGGCAGAACAGGTTTGTGAATGAGCACGGTACCTGAGTTCAGGGTGTTCACATTCAATGGTTATCGTGTGTTGTACATTGTGGGGATTTTTCAAGGAAAATTCAAAGAATTCGGCGGTGCCCAGTGTGGCGTACATGGTGTACTGGGTGGTGATGGCCTGGTGCAGCATGTTGACAATACTCGCTGTTTTGGTTTGCTCGCGGTACGCTTCTATTATCTGCAAGTCTCTGGTGTGTTGAATCCGCTCCTCACGTCTGCCCTGAAAGGGAGCGAATGTGCAGATAAGAACCAAAGACTCTCTTACTCCAGAAGGAGGCCGTTTGTCCCATGAATTCGGTGCAACATGTATTATTGTATTTTATTAGTAATCTTATTTTCCATCTCTATGCAGTTTCCCTGAATAGTTTTCCTGCTCAGGTGCTCAATGCTGAGCTGGGGTTTTGGGTTTTGATATGGAGCCAGTGGGATATACTTGCAGCGTGTTAAGAGTATATCTGGTGAGAGTATTCTTAGACACTTGTCTGGGAAGTGCCTTTGACTTTCAATTTTATAGACGCTAGATCAAAAGCAAGTATTATTATTACACAATATAATTTGATGAATAAGCAGCTTAGATTTAACTAATTTATACAGAACATAATGAATACAGCGAATACATTGCCCATGGAGGCAGATAACATTGAGAATTTCAAGGCAGGTTGGATGGTGTAGGATTGGGATTGTGAGAGGCAGAGAGCAGTGGTACTTTAGAAAATAACAATAATATTCCTTACAATTGATATGGCACCTTATCTCCTTGTCAAAACACCTCAAAGCACTCATAGAAATGATCGTAGAGTGCAGTAATTTGCCGATTTAAAGGGGAACTCAGCAGCCAATTTTCACACAGCAATGTCCTACAAGGAGCCACAAAGTGAATGAACAATTTTTACTGAAACTCCTTTTCCTTTTTGAATAGTGCCATCAATTGAGCCCCAGATTGACAACCTGGAGCCATCCAGAGTGTAATGGTCTTTTCGGATCTCACGTTAGTCTCTCAAATGATTTAATTTTAAAGATTTTTTTTGAACGTTATCCTGCCTCTCAGCATCAATGGTTACACACCAGAATGTGGCTTCTGGAGCTGCTGGCGCTGTTGCTGGACTCAAACTGTCGCACGGCCAACATCCTCTCCAGTTTCCGCTGACGTACAGCGTCCATCTCGTTCCTGCCCTGCTGCACTGAGATACTAGACTCCTTCAGCCTGGTGACCAGCAGGGAGGCCAGCTCACTGTCCAGGTCTGACAGACGCTGTGCCCTGAACGTGTTGTGAGCTAATACAGGAAAGCACAAGAGCAGGGAGGTCATTATCGGAGCAAACGGTGACTTCATCAAACCAGATACAAACACCAGAGAGATTTGGATCAAGCAGGCTCTTCCGCCCATTTGATATCATCCTTCCAGAATCCCCACTGTACCGCCTTCCCATTTCACTGTTAAACATTCCCATTCCCATCAATGCTCATTCAGCTTTAATGAGTCCAACAAACCATCCTCAAAATCACCCCTCCAGGGAACGTGTTCAGCTGCCGATTTCCTCTCTATAGAAAATAATACTTCCTTTTAACTGCCTTAAAATTGTCCTTCACAAACTTCATCCTGTGCTCTCGTACCCTGCTGCCTCGGTAGTAATCTGCTCCACACGAACAAAAGTAAGTGAACCTACTTCTCAGAGAAGGGGATTAGATTATCTCATGTGGAAAAAAAAAGTACTGTTTCAAATAGCCTGTCCTACGGCATAATTTGGGCACTTGTTAGATCAGGGGGGGGTTCTGGGAGTCAAGGCCTCACCTCTTTGTATACCTCTGTTGCTTTATTCCTCATTTTCCATGAGTCATGGATTTGGTGATCATTAGATTATCTTTGACTTTCTGGAATTAGTTTTTTTTTGAAAGTTTAAATGTTTGAAGCAGTAAAGCTCTGAAGTTGTATTATATAACAATAGACTAATGAGCATTCCTGCTGTTTCCAGCTGCTCCAGTATCAGTCTGCAGACTGTGGGCCATTAAACCCATCTCTCGTACCTAACTTCACCTAATTAATTTTTAACGCATGGTATAAATTATGAAGACTTTAGAGATATGATTGATATCCTGCAAACTCGCTTCCCATTCCTCACCGGGTCTCCAAGCCCTGCGGTTCCTCTATGCTGCTGACCCTCGTCTCCCTTCACCAACACCCTTGTCCTGACACTCATTCGCTATTCTCCAGATAAAATGGAAATCTGTCACACCTGCCTTGTGCTCCCAGTACCTGCGGAACATTGCTTCTCTCAATCCTACTGAATCCTAACCTCTTCCTTGCTGCACAGACCACCCCCACCCCTCACCCTACACTAATCCCTCCTCTCCCACCCCTGGACTCCTCCCCCCACATTCTCCCTTCGACTCCTCCCACCGCACCCTCCCCTGGACTCCGCTCCCACCCCTTGGCCCAACCCCATCCTCACCCCTCCACTCCCCGCCCCCCCCCCACCCCCACCCTCTTCAATACGTTGATGCTCTTTGCTATAACCACAATTCTGTCAGCAAATTCCAAATCCTCACTCCCCTCCAAAACTAGATCTTACTGGCTAACTTATAGTTATGTCCCCCTCTTCTGTGACCATTACAACATCATCTGGGTCCCAGACACACCTTTTCTCTCTCTGGTCGGCCTGTTTTGTTGCAATTTTCCCTCCGTTTGTTTTGCACCATTAACACCCCTTTAACCCATCATCCCCTGTCATTTGCCCCATTTTCTCCTTTGTCTTCCACGCCCTGTCTCCCCCCTCTCTGATAGTCTTTAAAAGCCTCCGCCTCCCAACATGCCCCAGTTCTGACAGTCATGGATCTGAAACGTTCACTCACATTCCTTTCTTCATAGATGCTGCCTGACCTGCTGAGTTGTTCCCAGCGACTTCTGTTTTTGTTTCAGATTTCCAGCATCTGCAGCATTTTGCATTTTGTTTATATTTATGTCCCCTGAGTTTAGACTTACCAGCAAGTTGAAACAGTCCTTTCAACATCTACCTAATTAAATCCTTTCATAACCTTAAATAATTCTGTCAAACTCAATCTTAAATATCTCAACTCTGGAGAGGAAAGAAAGCCTGTCAAATGCACTTGATAGCTATATGCATTCATCCCTGGTAACATCTTGTAAATCTGCACTGTTCTCTGTCTAATGCTAGAATATTGTTGTAATATGGCCACCAGCTTGGTACTCAGTACTTCACATGTGGTTTGACTGTGTGCTCTTATATGGATTTAACATAACTTCAACTATTATACTTTTATACTCCAATGGATATAAAAACCACGAATCCTACATGCATTCGCTTTGGCCTTGTCCACCTGCGATGCTGGCTTTGCAGTCCTGTGAATCAGTTCCCTTTGTTCCGTTATCCATCTTAGTTTCTTATCCAGGATAAAATTCTTTATTCTTCCTACCAAAGTGATCACTTCACATTCCTCCATATTAAACTTCAGCTGCCACCCATCTGGCTGATCCACAAGCTGATTTATGACTCTGCATCTTTCTGCTATCCTCCTCATTATTTACCACCTGCTCATTGTTGGAAACTTTTCCTACTTTTTTGCTAGTCTGAGAAGCTGTTCTTTATTCCTACTCTTTTGTTTGTATTTTCCAGCCAACTCTCAATCCATTCTTGACATGCCTGATCTTAAGCCACGAGTCTCTTATGTGGCACCTTATCAAAGGCCTTCTGGAAATGCACTCTAAAAATTCTATTTTGTTCTTTGTGAATATCATCATTAAACTTGCTCAATAATTATAAAGGTTCTACAGTATAACTGCTATTGATACATTGGAAATATTATTATTATACTGTAAAGTGGTTTGACTGTATATCTTATGGGTGAAAATTGCCTTGATAAGTGAGCTTCTCTCACAGTCTTGCCATTCTTTTCCCCACCCAACGTTCGAGATTCGCACAGATGATCCACTCACCCTTCAGAACCTTCACATTTTGGTTAGACAAACTGCCTCCAGGGAATCCACTAGGCCCTTCATGGGAGGAGATGACTCGCGAGTGGGAGGAAGGCAGAGAATGTGAACTTTTCCGCTGCTCAGACACGTGACCTATAACAACACATAACAACATAACCAGTGACGGAAAATGTCTAAGTGAGACGCCGCACTTCCTCAACCCCCATGTTGGCTCACGTTATTGATGTGGACCTCCGATCTCACTAAGGATTTTACACCCCTCCCATCTTTGACATAGAATCAGGATTTCTTATTTTGAAAAACTGTTGGTACAACATAACAACAATTATATAGCACCTCTCACACAGGGGAGCATCCCAGAACCCTCTATCCTTCCTGCCAGTGTATAACTACACATCCACCATTCTTTAGGATTATTTAGAAAGATCTGCTAACTTGTCCTGTTTCCACCCATTCTAACATGACGCTCAGAATCAAGCACTGTTTCTGGGTTAAAAGGTTGGGTACCCAAGCCCTAATGTTGCATCTAAAGGCTTTTAATCCAGCACAGTTCAGTGAGGCTGGGGGAGCTCTACATTATCAGAAGTGCTCTTCTTCGGATGAGACATTAAATTGAGGTCCCATTTGTCTGTTTAAGTGGATGGTAAAGAAATTATTAAGAGAGAAGGAAGTTTCTCTTGGTATCCTGGCCAACAGTCAAGATTAATTGATCAGTCCCTGTTTGTGACCTTGCTGTGTGCAAATGGCTACTACATTTGCTGACAAAAACAATTGCTTGACTGTAATTACTTTGAGACTTTTCAAGTTGATAATGGATTGTAAAAATGCAAGTTATTTCTTTCTTATGAGCACAAAGAAAGCAGAAGATACCAACACAGCATTAAGAAAACAGATTAATCTTTTTCTAACAGTCACAGGAAGGGAGGGAGGGATGGAGGGAGAAGGATTCAGACAGCTTAATACTGAGTTGGGCACACTGCCAAAAATGGACTGCACAGATAAAAAGAGCACCTTCAGCCAGATTCAGCAATCGCTCGTCCTTTGGGGCACATTACATTACAAAACAAAAGGCAATCCTGAGCATTTTACTGCACTCAGCATTTTGAAGTGAATCGTACTCTGGACATAGGTCAATAAAAGCACAATACAAAGCAATAAAAGAGTCAGCTCTGCAGCCTGGTGGTAGAAGTTGTTTTGGTGGTCAGCCAGGAAATCCCACAATTCGTAAGACTGAGAGTTCCAAACATCTGTACAATCTACACGTGGAAATTTCCCGATATCTGGCACTCCCTCTCCCTCTCCCTGGAGGGACACACTCTGCTTACCAAATTCCAGAGCGTATTAGGCACAGGTTGACATGAGCCAAGGCCTGAGATCATCAGAGTGTACCTTGGGATAACCAGTTAGGTATAACTAGCTAAAACCATATTGAAAGGACAGTCTGGCAAGCTTCCGGCTGTTTGTCCATCTAGGATCAGCCTACCCATTTACGCTTTGACTTGCAAGATTAACGGAGGCTGAGTGGGAAGAATCCCTGCTCCCTGTAACTGGTCTGGACTTCCAAGTACTACGGATGAGCCAGGCTGGCTGGTCCGTCATCAGCAGTGACCTGGAAGGCTGAGATCCACCTGACTCAGGAACTGGACTACCGAGACATCCACCTGGTTATTTACTCGAATCTAGCATTCCATAGCTAGACCCGTCACCTTGTTTTACACCAGGTTTTCCCGGGCACCAAAAGCAGGGAGAGAAACTAAATTTCACAAAAGGTAAAACCAAATCGAGGCTTTGGGCTCAACCTTTGTGATGACACCTGCAATCAGACATCGACACATGTAAATTAAAGACAGAAGTCGCTGGGAACACTCAGCAGGTCAGGCAGCATCTATGGAGAGAGGAAAGTGCGTAAACGTTTCAGGTCGATGATCTTTTGTCAGAACTCTGATGTTAACCCACTTTCTTATCTCCATAGATGCTGCCTGACCTGCTGAGTGTTCCCAACGACTTGTTTTATTTCAGATTTCCAGCATCTGTAGCATTTTGCCTATTGACAGATGTCATTTTCTTCAATGTGCTAACTACAAAATATATATATGTACACACACCAGATATACAGTCATTTAATATATACAGTATATTCTGTGAAGCGCTTTTGAGATGTCGCTACATGAAGTCCAAGTATTATTATTATTACTAAACCGTGATAAAAGCACATTAAAAGTTAGAATTGTGCAAAAAAGTATATATTTCCCACCTCACAACTCTTTTCAAGTATAGAGAAGTTCAAACGCTCACCAATGTTCCCCAATCGCATGTGCAATCTTCCTTTCGTCAGTGTAGTCACTCCAAAAGGTTTAACGGCACCGTGCCTTGTCAGGTCACCGCTAGGCATTGGTGCATCTTGGGAGAACTCTGTGGTGATAACCTCCAGCTCATGGGTTACCTGCACAGCAGAGCGGGTCTGGCGTAATAAATGCTGCAACAATCCAAAGGTTTTTAAAGCAGTGAGTTCTTAATATTGCAACTGAGATAAAAATCTGAAACAGGACTCCTCACGCAAAGGAACAATGTTTAGTGGATCAACAGAAAATGCATTCAATGCAAACTTTTCAGACGTCAAAGGTCTTTCATCGAGACTGAAAGAGAGAAACCCGTATTAGCAGATTGTGGATTACCAGCTGCACCATCAACCACAATGTATATTGGGATGCCTACTGGAGTTTAAACCACTAAATATGTCCAGCTTACCAATGTACACACTGGCCAACATCCCTCTGCTTCTCCAGCTAGGACTTCCCTATCCATTCACCTATTCAGGTTAAAGATCTTATTGTATTATTTTAAAAAGAGAAGGGAGTTTTTTGGCCGATAATCCAAATTGTTCTCCGGTCTAAATATAAAATTTAAAATATCCAAATATATAAAATATAAAATTATCCTAATATAAAATTGGTCATTCACTTCATGGCTATTTATGGGATGTTCCTCTGCACAAATTGGCTACCAATTTTGCCTACAAAATACACTACTCTTTACAATGAAATCTTGTGAAGTACTTTGAGACGTCCTGCTGATCTGCAAGGCACTATAACAAGTGCATGGTTTCCAACAACAACTTGCATTTATATAGCACAGGTAGTGTCCGGGAGTGCTGAGTAGGAAGAATTTGTAGAATCATAAAATTATACAGCACAGGAGGAGGCTATTCGGCCCATCAAGTCTGCGGCTCTTTGAAAAGAGCTTCCAAATCAATTCCACTTCCTCACTCTCTCCCCACAGCCCTGCAACTTGTCCTCCCCAAATAATTATCTACTCTCTCAAAAGTTGTTATCGAATCAGCTTCCACCAGCCTTTCAGGCAATGACATTCCAAATCCGAACAACTCGCTGTGTGAAAACATTTCTCCTCACTTCCCCTCTGCTTCTTTTAACAACTATTTGGAATCGGTGTCCTCGGGTTCTCCTTGTTAGTTCTCCTTGTTCACTTTTATCAAATCCCCTGATAATTTTGAAAACTTCTATTAAGTCTCCTCTTAACCTTCTCTGCTCCAAGGAGAATAATCCCAACTTCTCTACCTCTCCTGATAACTGAAGTCCCTCATTCCTGGTACCATCCTGGTCAATCTCCTCTGCACCCTCTCCAATGCCTTGACATCCTTCCTAAAGTGTGGGGCCCAGAACTGAACACAGTCTCTCGCTGAGGTCTAACCAGTATTTTATATAAAGGTTCATCATAACTTCTTAATTTTTGTATTCTATGCCCCTATTTATAAAGCCTCGTATCCCATATGCTTTTTAAACAGCTCTATCTGCCTGTCCGGCCATCTTCAAAGATTTGCTTATATGACCCCTCAGGTCTCTCTGTTCCTTCACCCCTTTAAGATTGTACCATCAGCTTATATCGCTTCTCCTCATTCTTCCTCCCAAAATGCATCACATTACATTTCTCCACATTAAACACGTGTCTGCCCATGTTACCAGTCTGTCTATGTCCCCTTGCAGTCTGCTACTACCCTCCTCACTGTTTATTACTCTCCCGAGCTTAGTATCATCCTCAAACTTGGGAATTGTCCTCCCTATACCCAAGTCCAGGTCATTTATATATATATATGATCAAAAACAGCAGTGGTCCCAATACCGACCCCTAAGGGATACCACTGCACACTTCCCTCAGTCAGAAAAACAACTGTTCACCACCTCTCTCTGCTTTCTGTCTCCCAGCAGCTCTGTATCCGCTGTCACTGTCTTTAATACCATGGGCTTATATTTTGCTTACAAGTCTCTTATGTGGCACTTTATCAAATGCCTTCTGAAAATCCATATAAACTACATTAACTGGACTACCTTCATCCACCCTCTCCGTTACTTTCAAAAAACTCTATCAGGTTTGTTAGAGATGATTTGCCTTTACCAAATCCGTGTTCGCTGCCCTTTATTAACCAATATTTTTCTAAGTGAAAATTTATTTTGGCCCGGATTATAGTCTTTCGAACTTTTCCCACTACTTACGTGAAGGTGATTGGCCTGTAGTTCCCAGGTTTATCCTTCTGCCCCTTTTTGTACAGGGGAGTAAAATTTGCAACCCTCTCTGGCACCACCCCGGTGTCTAAGGAGAATCGAAAGTGGAGGTCTTGCGTCTGATCTTCCAAAATTCCTTGAATTCTGGAACAGTCCCCATGGATTGGAAGATCGCAAATGTCACACCACTATTTAAAAAGGGTGGAAAGGAAAGATGGGGAACTATAGGCCAATTAGTCTCACATCAGTGATAGGAAAAAATTTAGAATCATTGATTAAGGATGTGGTAGTGCGGTATTTAGGGCACAATATAATTAGGCCGAGTCAACACGGCTTTACAAAAGGGAAGTCATGTTTGACAAATCTCATAGAGTTTTTTGAGGATATTTCGAGTAAACTAGATAAGGGTGAATCAGTGGATGTGGTCTATTTGGACTTCCAGAAGGCATTCGATAAGGTGCCGTATAAAAGGTTAGTCCAAAAGATAAGGGCCCATGGAATTAGGGGGAGCATATTAACGTGGATTGGGGAATGGTTAACAGGTAGGAAACAAAGAGTAGGGATAAACGGGTCCTTTTCAGATTGGCGGGATGTGACTAGTGGAGTGTCACAAGGATCAGTCCTTAGGCATCAGCTATTTACCATCTACATCAACGATCTAGATAAGGACATCAAAGTTAATATATCTAAATTCGTGGATGACAGAAAACTAGAGGGAAGTGTCAACACAGAGGACGACATTAAAAAAATGCAGCGAGAAATAGACAGGTTAGGCGATTGGGCAGGTAGGTGGGACATGAAGTATAATGTAGGGAAGTGCAAAGTCATCCACCTCGGGAGCAAAAACAGGAGAGCGGGTTATTTTTTAGAAGGTGAGAGATTGGAATGTGTTAGCGTCCAGAGGGACTTGGGTTCCTTGTACACCAATCACAGAAAGTTAGTCTGCAGGCGCAGCGAGCGATTAGGAAGGTGAACGGTATGTTAGCATTCATCATGAAAGGATTAGAGTATAAGAGTAGGGAAGTCTTGCTGCAACTGTATGGTCTCCTTATTTAAGGAAGGATGTACTTGCCTTGGAGGGGGTGCAGCGTAGATTTACCAGGTTAGTACCAGGGATGAAGGGGATGAGTTACGAGGATAGACTGACCAATTTGGGCCTATATTCTCTAGAATATAGAAGAATTAGAGAAGATCTTATAGAAACCTATCAGATCATCAAAGGCCATGATAGAGTAGATAGTGTGAGATTGTTTCCCCCGGTTGGAGAAACTAAAACCAGGGGTCACAACCTTAAAATCAGAGGCAGCCTTTTCGCACTGAGTTGAGGAAGAACTTCTTCACTCAAAGGGTAGTGAATGTATGGAACTCACTACCCCAAAGGGCTGTTGACGCTCAGTCCTTGAACATATTCAAAACTGAGATAGATATATTTCTTATTGCAAAAGGGATTAAGGGATATGGGGATAAGGCAGCGTCAGGTTATTAGCTGGAGTTAGATTAGAAGATCAGTCATGATTGAATGGCGGGGCAGCTTGAAGGGCCGAATGGCCTACTCCTGCTCCTACATGTTATGTTTTGTTATGAAAGACTGTGGCCAGAACCTCCATTATTTCCACTTCCTTTCGTAACCTAGGATGCATCCCTTCTGGACTGGGTGACTTATCTACCTTGAGCACCGACAATCTTTTTAGTAACTCCTCTTAGTTTATTCTCATCTTATCCAATTTGTCTCCCCTCTCCTCCGATACTGTGGCATTAGCTGCATCCTCTTCTTTTGTGTAGACAGATGCAAAGTACTCATTCAGTACATCAGCCATGGCCTCTGCCTCCACAAGAAGATTTCCTCTTTGGTCCCAAATTGGACCCATCCAACCTTTGACTAACCTTTTATTCTTTATATCAAATGCAAGGATTATTATTATGATTATTTATATGTTTATAAAACACCTTAGGGTTCCCTTTTTCTCATACAATCTCTTTGCCCCTCTTTTTTCCTTTTTCAGTTCTCCTCTGTACTTTTACATTCTATTTGATTATCTTCTGTAATTTGGACCTAACATTTATCATACGCCTCCTTTTTTTGTTTTATTTTAATCCCAATTTCCTTATTCATCCAGGGAGGTTTGGATTCCCTACCTTTCTCGTTTGTGGGAATATATTTGTTCTGCCCCGAACTATCTCGTCCTTGAAGGCTTCCCAGTGCTCATTAGCTGTTTTACCTGCCAATCTTTCTTTCCAGTCCTCTTCCAGTTGAGTATCTTCACCCTTGATTGTTTCCTTGTCCCTTTATGGGAAGTAAGTACTCTCAACTTAATGATCACTGTTGTCCAGATGCTCTCCTACTGAAACCTGCTTCACTTCCCCACTTTATTCTCCAGAACTAGATCCAGTACTGCTTCCTTCTTAGTAAATCCAACAGAGTGACAGCTTCTTTTCTGCTCATCGTCCCTTTCTAGATCCGTAACCATGTCTCTAATCAATATTGTCACACCCACCCCACCCAACTCCTTTTTTTCCTTCCCTATCCCTCCTGAAAACATTATAGTCAGGAATATTCAGCTCCCATTTCGGCCCTTGTTTGAGCCAGGTCTCCGTTACTGCCACTATATCATAACCCCATGTGGCAACTTGAGCCTGAAGCTCACCAATCTTATTTGTCACACTCCGTGCATTTACGCACATGCACTCCAAGACCGACTGCATCTGTTCTGCATTTCTCCCCTGTCTAATCCCTCCTTTTTCTGAACTACTTCTTATTACATTGTTATTCGACTCTCCCAGCCCTCTATGTAACTTGTTTCCCTCCCTAATGCTACATCCTGATTCCCTTCCACCCTCAAAATTAGTTTAAACCCTTCCCCAGAGCACTAGTTAACCTCCCTGCAAGGACATTCGTCCCAGCCCTGATAAGGTATAACCCATCCACCTTGAACAGGTCCCACCAGTCTCAGAACTGGTCCCAATGATCCAGGAACCTGAAGCCCTCCTTTCTGCACCATTTCTCCAGCCATGCATTCATGTGTTTGATCCTACTGCTTTGATACTCACTTGCATGAGCCACTGGGAGTAATCCAGAAATCACTACCTTTGAGGTTCTACTCTTTAGTTTTTTTCCTCGCTTCTGATACTCTCTATGGAGGATCTCAGCCATTTTTTCCTTTATGTCATGGATCCCAATGGACTCCGACTTCTGGATATTCCCCTTCCCTCTGTAGAACATTTTGCACCCATTCCGTGATGTTTTCAACCCTGGCACCCGGGAGGTAACATATCATGTGAAAGTCACGTCTTTGATTGTAGAAACAGCCTCTCTACTCCTTTCACCACTGTGTCCCCAATGACAATTGCATAGGCACTCTTGCCTGTGTCCCCTTGTTCATCCATTTGCTTTTGACTCCCCTCCCCAGAGGTGTCATCACCCTGATGATTCTCTATACTCAGTATAGAGAACCGGTTTGTGAATGCCACTCACTCTCCTTCTGAACCCTCTGTGTCTGTGGGGTAACCACCTCCTGAAATGTTCGATCCATGAACCCTTCATGCCTCCCATATGCTATGTAGTGACACCAGCCTCTCCTAGAGCTCAGAAACTCTCCAGCAGCTGGAGGCACTTCTTACACACGTGTCTGTCCAGGGCGCCCAAAGCATCCTGGAGTTCCCACATGGCACACATTGTGCATTCAACCGATCTCAGCTCTGCTATATTCCCAGACATGTTTTAGATTATTTTAATATAACTACTATATATTTTATAATTATGCACCACTTTCCCCCTCTGCACTGAGTCCCCAGTGACTGATCCACCCCTAAAATCCCGGCTGGCTGGTCCATCATTAACAATGTCTTAATGTATTGCATTCTCTCTGACTCTAGTGCAATACTGGAGGATCGATGATTTCTTCAGTTAAGATGTTGAACCAAGGTCCCGTCCGCCTGATCAGGTGGACCGTAAAAACTCCATAGCACTATTGGAAAAGAGAAGGAAGTTTTTCCGTGTCCAGGTCAACAATCTGCTGGCTAAAAATCAGCTATTCTCTTCATGCTCATTTTGGGACGCTGGTGTGTGCAAATTGGCGACCGTGTTCTCCTACAAATACACAGTCACTTCATTTCACAGTAAAAATCCTGTGAAGAACTTTGAAGTGCTTTAATAATGTGAAATACAACATGAGAACCTTCTCAAACTTTTCATCCCTCCCCACAGTCATCACAAACCTATCTCATTCTCTTTGGTTCCCAATCGCAACTGTACCAGTATGTTGAGCCCAACAACAACAAGGTTGCATTTGGACATCCCAAGGCGCTGGACAGTGTACAGCATTTCAGACCCGAGCTGGGGGAGAAGGGAGGGGAGGGGAAGGGGGGTGGCCGATGGCATGGTCAAAGAGAAGGGTTTTGAGGCGGGACTTGAAGGAGGCTAAGGAGAGGGCAAAGCGGAGTGACTGGGGGATGAAATTCCAGAGGTTGGCGGCAGAGAGACTGAAAGCTCTCCCGCCAATGATGGGGCGGGTGGGTCAGGGAACGTGGAGCAGGCCAGAGCCGGCTGAATGGAGGAAGCGGGCGGGTTGGTAGGGGGTTAGGAGGTCGCAGAGGTAGGGTGGGGTGAGGCCATGGAGGACTTTGTACGTGAGGATCAGGATTTTGAACTGGATCCTCTGAAGGATATGGAGCCAACAGAGTTGGGCGAGAATGGGAGAGATGGGGTCACGGAGTTTGGTGCGGGAGAGGACATGGGCTGCAGAGTTTTGGATTATCTGCAGCCTGTGGAGGGAGGAGTTGGGAAGGCTGACACGCAGGTGTTTGCATAGTCAGCCTGGAGGTGATGAAGGCATGAACAAGATTTTCAGTGGCCTGAGGGGTGAGGTAGTGGCGGAGTCGGGTGACGTTACAGAGGTGAGGGAAGGCAGAGCGGGTCATGGCTTGAATATGGGGGAGAAAAGACAATTGAGTGTCGAACAAGACCCCCAGGTTCCTGACTGACTGGTGATGCTGCCAGAGCCTGAGGTGCAGAGGCGCTGGCACGAGCCAATAGGAGGGCCTCAGTCTTGTTCACATTCAACTGTAGGAAATTTGCCCTCATCCAGGACTTGATGTCCGACAGACAGTCTGTCAGGACAGCAGTGGTCCTGGAGTTGAGGGTGGAGGCAGAAAGATAGAGTTGGGTGTCATCCGCACACATGTGGAAGTTGACCCCATGTCTGCAGATGATATCATCAAGGGGGAGCATATAGATATTAAAGAGGAGAGGACCAAGGGCAGAGCCCTGGGGACGCCAGACATGACAGTGCGGGGGCTGGAGGAGAAACCGTTAGAGGCAACGAAGTGGAGACGGTGAGAGAGATAGGAATCGAACCAGACAAGGGCAGGTCCATGAAGATTGAGTAAAGTGGAGAGGCGGTGTATGAGGATGGATTGGTCGACAGTATCGAAGGCAACAGAGAGATCGAGGAGGACAAGGAAGCAGAGGGAGCCCTGATCACAGATGTTCAGAATGTCATTAGTGACTGTGACCAGGGCCGTTTCCATGCTGTGGGCAGAGCAGAAGGCGGATTGGAGGGGTTCAAAGAGAGAATGGTGAGAGAGAAAGGAGCGGAGCTGGGACACGACGACTCTTTCCAGGACCTTGGAGAGGAATGGGGGGTTAGAGATGGGGTGGGAGCTGGAGAGGAGGCATGAGTCCAGGGAAGGTTTTTTCAGGATGGGGGTGATGATGGCTGTTTTTAGGGGGGTGGGAACTGAACCAGTGCCCACAAAATAGAAAGGGGACAATACCTTACTGACTGAAATAAACTAATTAGAAAATTTGTCAGTATTCCAGTAATACCTAAAGTCCCCAAAATGCTCTGTTCTCATGAGCAGAGGTAAACAGCATTGCCAGTATTATGAAACTCAATGAAAGTTTGTTTAAAATGCATCAAATGTCCTGTAAATTAGTGCTGCATAAAAAATAACATACAATGCTTGACACAGAAACAATACATTATGACAGGCTTTTTAAACTAGAATTTATGAGTTTTTTACTCTACATAATGATGTTAATCAAGCTCATCCAATCATTCATTCCATCAGTAAATTACAAAGCATGAGTTGCTACCTTAAGCTCCACTGCTGCAGAGCCCATTAGAAGCAGTGATTCTGCATCCCATACATCGATCTGAAGGGTTTGCATGGCCAGATAGCGGATAAACCAGCGCTGCTCTCCTTGCTTCAGGAAGCTTGGTTCCACCATGTATTTCAGCTCCAGCCCTGGTGATGCTTCAGCCGTTAGCAAGGGAACGAGAAAGAGTGAGCTTCGAGGTCAGTCACATTATACAGCTTTAAAAGTAAATCAAAATGCTGTCAAAATGGGTGATGGTGGGGATGGGATGGTGGGGCTGACTTCAACTTTGAGCCTTGGAACCAGTTTCCAACCTTGGATATCTTTTTGTTATTCAAATAATTGTGCATATCTTTGTTGCCTGTTCTTTGGTACATCAATGAACTTAAATATTATTTCTGTACTGAATCAATGGTTCTCTCTCTCTCCTCCTCCCCCCCGCTCCTTTTGCCTGGGTTGGATATATTTTTACATCGGATTTGGAAACAAAACCGCAAAACAAAACTCAACTAAAAAGTAAATCAAGTGAAAATTTTACTGCCCAAATTATCATCCAAACGAGAGCAGTTAGAAAGAAGTAAAGCAAGATAATAATATGATTCACATTTTAGATGAAGTATTTTCTTGTAGACGGATTATTTGGGTAAATCTCATCATTAGCAAATCTTTCTACATTGGTTATATTTAAGCATGATTAACACCACGTTTCCTCACTTGCTAATCCAGCTGACGGTTTTTGTTACTATATTGGGCAAAGCTGTCTGGGTGGAGTTACTGACACCATCAACAAGAACTGTGGGATCTGTCACCTGAAGATAATCATCACCCCAAGGTGCTTCACCACACTTGTCATTGTAATGCTGTACATTAATCTAACTCCCTCGCACTGTTGCGATCAACAGACAGCTCTCCTGCAGGTGTCATTCTTTTAAGAAAAATCACTTCATGCAGAAATTAACCCAGAAGAGAGAGAGAGAGAGAGAAGGCTTGTCACCCATGAGTCTGCATTTATACGAGTTTTAATCAGAATCTTGAATGTTTTTTTAAGTCCTATTCTCGGCATCATCTGCTCATTGCCTCCTCAACGTGGCCCTCTGTATTGGAGAAAAAGTTTATTTTCTTCTTTGAAAGTGAAATGGGTTTGTGACATCCTTAGCTATTCTGACTTCCAATCATAAACTTCAAGGGAAAATCTGATATGAACTTGATTAAAGCATCAAATAGAACATTCAGCTAAGGTAGATTTAGGTACGATCCCCATCATCATTGGGGGAATGTTTTTAACTTTATTTACATATAATATTATAATAATCCTTGCATTCAATATAGCACTTTTTTGAGACATCTCAAAACGCTTCACAGAATGTACTGTAAAGTGAATATTTGTTTGATAAGGGTATTAAAGGATACGGGGCAAGGGCAATTAATTGGACTTGAGGAACAGATCAGCCTTAATCTTTTAGAACAGGCTCAAGGGGCTGAATGGCCTACTCCTGTTTCTAGGAATTGACTGTATAGCTTGTGGGCAGCAGCCAATTGCGCACAGTAGTGTCCCATAAACAGTCATGGATTTAGTGACTAAATTGTTATTTTTTTTTACATTTTTTTTTGAAGGGATTACCCCCGGAAAAGGGATACCCAAGTGATTAACAACCGGGTTCCTACTTACTGCTAGGTAAACAGAGGCGCGTGGAGTAAGGGAGTAACTTGGAGGAAGCAAGTAACTTGCCCAACGTTCCACCTGCCCGGGTATCAAACCCAGGTCCCCCACTTATGAGGCGACTGCTCTAACGACTAAGCTACAGGATTCCACATAGATAAGGCATTATAAAATACGAACACAACTTTAGGAACAGGAAATGTCCATCAAGCCCAACGAGTTCATCCCTTTGTGAGAAGAACAAACCTCTCACCGTATCCATATTTGGCCCAAAAATCACACAGCCAATCAACTTTACAGCTTTATTGTTACCTCCTTCCCTTGCTCTCTCTTCTCCCTGTAAAATTCTCTGTGTATCCAGGTTGCGTAACCTGGTAATAACACAATGAGTGCCCTACTCTGTGCCCTATCCCCTCTCCACCTTTGCTCTCGCCCCCTCTGGCTCCGTACCTGTGGGCTGGTCGTTCTGTCTCCAGTCTCTGCATGCTGCTGCCCCCGACCCGAGCTGCTTTCCCCCACAAATGCCCCCATCCCTATCCTCTACCCTTCATCACTCCCGCACTGTCCTCCTCTCTGTCTGTCTCTTTGGAACTACATCCCACAGTTCTTTTGTCTTGCTCCCTCCCTTGCCTCCTCCAAAGCACATCTCAAGACCCTCCTCTTCGGGCGTTCATTTGTCCACACTCCTACCCCTAGCCTTACTGCGCTCCACCCCGACCCCAACCCCCAGCTCAGGTCCGAAACTCCCAAATTACTTCCTCCTTAATGCTACTCTGATATCTAAAAAAAAGTTGTTACTTGGAACTGAAATAATTGTGAAGTGTTTTGAGACATATCAGCATCATAAATGCTATAAAAATGCAAATTCTTCTTAACCATGTCAGTGAGTGCAAAATTGAATGAGTTCCAGCCCTAGATTTGTCAGTATATCTTAATAAAGACCAAATCAATTGTCATTTTTATTTCTGACTTTAGTTAGTACTTACAGAAGTATTTAGACCTAGGTTTGATCAAAGCACATTAGAATGTCCTGATATTACATCAACGCACACACCACATATCCTGAACAGATGAGCTGCACTGATCCATATTACAATGTTGAAAAGAAAACTCAATCTCTTTTGTTTTTGTGTCGGATTAATTGTTAATCTGCCAGACTCACCTGTGTTGATGCTCCCGTCTTTGTTTACAGGTATCAGGATCAAAGGCATATTTCCTGAGGCTTCTACACTTCCTGCTTTCACAAGCTGCAGCTGCCGGGTTATCACTGGTGGAAAGCGATAGAACTGAAAGCTGAAATAAATGAGTCTAGGCCAAAGACTGTCTTGAGGAATTCTGGTAAAACAAACACAGGAAAAGGTCATTCACTTAGCTAACCCAATAATCAACCTAATCACAACCAGACATCCCATTCCCTCTTAGGTCTTTGGGGTTAAGAAGGAAAGAAGAATATTAAAGCTTTGGGGAACGATGTATGCCAAGGTTGAAAGAGATTTAATAACAAGTTTCTAACTGCAGGTACAGTGCCCTTGATTCGTACAAATACTCGCACACATAGACTGGGTAACATGCAGTCAGTTAAAAAGGAGTGAGTGATCAATATTCAAGAATAGCTGCCTTCAGCAATAAAAGCAAGTGGGATTTGAAACAAACTTTGCTGCAGTCTAACTCAGTCCAGCAATGAAAGACTATTCCATAAAACATTGTGTGAAGGAGTTACAGTCTGGCACATTTCCAATTCTCAAGGACCTTGCAAAAAGATCAACGGTATTTCACAATACTGGACTAACACCAATGGCTATAAAACTGAGAAACTAATTTATTATTTTACTTTAGAAATGTATAATAATTTGAAAGCGAGCCACCAAATAAATAGTATACACTATAAGGCTTAACACAGCAGAATATGTTGGTAATTCTGCTATTAACTCTTGATCCATGATGTAGAAAATGGTCATAAATATTTGAGTTATAATTAAACAATGATAATAATACTAATACTTGCATTTTATTAGCACCTATTATTGTCAAAATATGTCCAATTCACAAAGAATTGCTGCCAAGTATAGTGACTGTATACCTGAAGGCAAACATTATAGTCATTTTGCACACAAATGCTACAAACAGCCATGAAGTGGTTTATCTGGATTATTGTTGGCTAGGACACTAGTTTTCTACAGAGTTGGGCATTTTCTAACCTCAGAAAGTAATAATAATAATCCTTGCATTTGATATAGCGCCTTATCGCATCTTCGAGACGTCTCAGTGCTTCACAGAATATACTATCAAGTGAATTGATGGCATATTTTGCAGGCGAAACGCAGCAGCCAATTGCGCACAGCAGAATCCCATAAATAGTCGTGGATTGAGTGACCAAATTCTTCTTATTAATAATTAATTAATTAAGATCACACAGAATTGTGGAAAAGTCTTAAATTCCAAAGCCATTTTTGGACGAACTGTGAAAAATAATTAATAATCTGCATTTCTTTTCTGAATACAGTTTTTTTTAAAAAAAAGATGACGTCTGTGTCAAACTTTGCACATGCCAGTAACATACTACACACTTAACATGCCAATCAAATGTTGTTGGGTTACAATGAATACTAAATCTTGATTTCTTCTCCCCTCAAAACACATTGTTACTCAGCTACCCAAAGCATAATACATTAAATAATGAATTATCTTGTTACTACTTCCACAGCTTTGCCTGAACTAAGTTAATATGAACTACTCTTACTGGTAGCACTGAATAACAAACAGATCTCGAGGAACAGAATACACTTTCAATTCAAGGAAAACAGCAAGTTAATGATTGACATCCATTCCCACTTACCAATTCTTTGCAGCTTCAGGGCATTTCTGTCTGAACTACAGATTTATAAAATGTTACCTTGTGAGGCTGACTTCAATTTGGAAGGATGGAAGACTCAGCCACATAGAAATCAACAACATAGAAGAGGGGCCACTAAACTCATTGTGTCTGTGCCACTGCTGAGGTACTTATAAAATTACCTTTTGAATGATTCTATTGATCTATGACTCCTCAATAGAAAAATAGCTAAATAGCAACAGGCCATAAGGGCAGTTACATCCTGCCAATGTGAGAAGCACTAAATGATTCCCTCTCTTCACTCTGTCCTTCAGCTATTCTTCTAGCTACCATTCTTCGCATTAGATGTTAAACCGAGGTTCCATCTGCCTGTCCGGGTGGACTTCAAAGATCGATGGCACTATTCAAAAAGAGTTTCTCTCTCGGTGTTCTGGTCAACAATAAAATAAATAATATTGGTCTCTCACTCCATGGCTGTTTGTGGGACAATGCCGCGCACAAATTGGCTGCCGCACGACCACAAAATAAGAACATACGAACATACGAATTTGTTGGTGAAAAAAGACTGAGGTCCACCCAGTTCGCCTTCCACCATTCTGTCAGCTGCATGACATGTACTGCATGACATGCCCAAACTATATACTGTTTCCCGAGATATTAGGCGGGGGACGTGAAATGTGAAACAAACCGGAGCCCGCTGAGCAGAGAGCGCGGGCAGTAGGGAGTTAGGAAGTCGGAGAGGTAGTGGGGAGCAAGACCTTGGAGGCTTTGAAGGTGAGGATCAGGATCTTGAACTATATCCTCTGTGTGATGGGAAGCCAGTGGAGTCAGGCGAGGATGGGGGTGATACAGTCGCGGAGCCGGGTGCGGGAGAGGACGCGGGCTGCAGAGTTCTGGATGATCTCCAGCCTGTGGAGGGAGGAGTCGGGGAGGCCGACAAGCAGTGAGTTTGTCAGGAGAGCCTCGGTCTGGTTATATATTCCTAGGATTTGATATAGCGCTTTTCACGTCTTCTCGACGTCTCAAAGCGCTTCACAGAATATGCTGTAAAGTGAATTGACTGCATATTTGTGGGCGAAACACAGCAGCTAATTGGGCACAGCAATGTCTCACAAACAGTCATGGATTGAAAATGATCAATTTATTACTGTTTTTGTTTTGGAGGAATTATTATTAGGCTCTGTGTGGAGTAAGGAAACTTGCCCAAGGATTCACCCTCTGCCTGGAATTGAACTCAGGTCTCTCACTTGCAAAGCGAGTGCTCTAACCACTGAGCTACAGGACTCCACTTGTTGACATTCAACTGAAGAAAGTTAGCTCTCATCCAGGACTTGATGTCTGACAGACATTCTGTCAGGACAGCAGTGGGTCCTGGAGTCACGGGTAGAGGCGGAGAGATAGAGTTGGGTGTCATCCACATACATGTGCAAGTTGACCCACGTCTGCGGATGATGTCACCAAGAGGGAGCATATAGATATTGAAGAGGAGGGGAACCAAGGACAGAGCCCTGAGGAACACCGCACGAGGGGCTAGAGGAGAAGCCCTTGGAGGAGATGAAGTGCAAGCGGTGTGAGAGGTACGATCTGAACCAATCAAGGACAGCGCCGTGAAGGTTGAGGTGAGAGGAGAGGCGGTGGAGGAGGATAGAGTGGTCGACGGTATCGAAAGCAGCAGAGAGGTCAAGGAGGACGAGGAGGCAGAGGGAGCCCTGGTCGCAGATGGACAGAATGTCATTGGTCACTTTGACCAGGGCAGGTTCTGTGCTGTGGGTGGACTCCACAATGCTACATTTGTAATGCAAAAAAGACATTAGGTAACAACCTGCTTCCAGCTCACTGCCAATCCGTGCTCACCAACTGGCCAGAGGAGCTGCATTTGTAGCCCAAGGTCTCCTCTTTTGTTTGGGAGAAATTGCCCCCACTTTCTGGGCTGGGAACTAACTGTGCGGAGAACTCGGATGTGAACCGCATTCTGCCACTTTACAACCCAGCACATTTGGAACAGTCCTTTTTTGCTAAAATCAGTTTTAGATATCATTAGTGCTGTGCATCATCAATCCAATCCATCTCCAGCCTGCGCGGGTCAGCGGCTGTGACAAACACAACAGAGAATCTAATTTGGCTGCTTATTAGTTGTAGTATCACATTCTTGCATTTCCATTAGCAAATGCTGCCTAGAGGTGCTTTATGCCAGGATTGAAGTCCCACTGCTCCTTCATTTAAGGTCTCCTTCAGGTAACATATTATCCCCACAGCCAGCTTTCTAAATTGATCATTTGTTCACCTGCCCCTGTATCACAGCATGAAAGCAGTTCAAGGTGAGTCTCACACTTGCACCAAAACTGCTGCGTACTCTCGCATTGCTCCACACCACTTTCTTAAAGTGCTGGAACTGCATGGTTTGGGCAGCACAAAACAACCAACAACAATCTGTCGTTGTTGTACGCTGTAGTGCTTTTCACATAAGGAGATTGTCTCAAAGCGCTTTACAAAGACTGAGTGGGAGCCAGAGCTGGAAGTAGCTTGGTAGGGAAAGGTGATCACAGACACGGTCAAGTAGATAGGACTTCAGAACTTGTTTGGAAAGCAGAGAGAGGAAATGTTGAGAGAGGGGGTGAAGGTTTCACCTGGGGGCTGGGGGAGGTAGGGCAGTGTTTAAAGCTGTCACAGTAGGTTCTGGAAAATGTCACCAAACACTGAATGGGTGAAGAGAGAGAAAAAGACACAGATACAGAGAATGAGAGAATGTGCGAGAGACACAATGAGAGTAAAAGATACAGATTGTTGCACTGCTATAGCACTGTATCACGTCAAAATGACTCAAACCATCTCAGTGTCATTATTGTCATGTGTAGTGACTGTGTTTTAGGCAAAGAAGTTAGTTTGCACCAGCAAGGTCCTGCAGCCACAAGGTAAATAAGATGAAGAATTGTTCCCAGCATTAATCCAAAAATAAAATGAATTTCTGTGTTGCTGTAAGTCATGACTTTTATATTAAAGCTTGAGGAACCATGGTCTAGATTTCAAAGTGCTTTTCAAAAAGATGAAAAGCCACACCTTTCTTTTGTAGGAAGAATTAAGTGTGGAAAAGCTAAAGCAGCTCTGGCAAATTTGGCAATTGCACCAATCTCCTGCTTTATTCTTCAAACATAATTTGCAAATAATTGTTATTTGGCTCGAATTCAGTACAGTGAAATATTAATCGACTCAAAATCTCAATAACAAGACGGAAGAGATGGAAGAACGAAAGCACATTATTTTAGAACCACAGAACAGATCAGCAGCTTAGTGGGTATAAAACAATCAGCTTTCTAAAATAATTCCGAGGGCTAAAATTGCGTAGCATTACTGGTATCACTGAGTCACTGAGAGTAAGTCAGAGCGACAAGCAAAATGCGTGACTGGATGTGTAGGTATAGCAGTGCACATTCCAAAGGTTTTAAACATAGCCACAACTGTATTATCCTTCAAGAACGTGATACCCAAATTACATCTGTGTAATGCATTTGTCCCAAATCAATGAAAGTGTTCAAAAATGTGCTTACTGAATGTATACCTCTCAGATTAACCTGCAAATAGGACTGGGATCCAGTTGCCTCCGGGCTGCACTATTTCCTCAGAATAGTAGCTTGTTCCATGCGTGAGGAGCCATTCACAAACACACACAAAATTCTGCCAATTCTATAGTTTTATAAAATCACTACCCACTCAAAGAGAGGCACTCACTGAGGTCTCAAACCTCCCTGTTCCACCAGAGCAACAACAACAACTTGCATTTACACAGCGCCCCTCACCCAGGGCAGCATCCCAGAGCGCTCGACAGTGGCGGAGCACGACTCTGAGCTGGGGGGAGGGGTTGGTGACCGTAGGCACGGTCGAATAGGAAGGTCTTCAGGCGGAATCTAAAAATAGGGCAAACTCAATTTGTTAAGCAATGAGATCAAAGGACTTCCATCACTGCCGCACATTACAGTTTTATTAAATCACTTTCCTATTCAAATCAACTTCTGCATTTTGTAAAATTAATTTAATTTTAACTGAGTTTAACCTGAAGTTTTTCTCCCAAATAAATCCTCTTATGGAATACACATGAAGCATCCAATTAGGTAGCTTACAAGAAGACACACTCTGACAGTTTATCTGCAGTATGAGTAGCAAATATGAACAGGTCTCTAAATTAGATTACTTTACCAATTTACATGTTAAGTGTTATGCACATCATGGTTCAAAGAGAAAGGACTCTAAAGATATCATGTGGGTCACAAATCGCAAGTCAACTGGTCAGATAATATGCAGCAATCTAAAGGTCACTCAGAATGGATTGACTCCCAACTCAGAAAACTTTGCCCCATAACAGTAAATAATAATATAATATATTGCACATTAAAGAGTGAAGTGGAGTTTCCTTTAGAGGTTTCATGAAAATATCTTTTAAAAAAAAGCATATTTTTACACCTTCCTTTCACATTGGAACAGCTTAAAGGTGCTTCACAATGAGTACCGTCCAGTGTAGTACAGTAAAATTCGCGTTTGGAGTCCTGTAGCTCAGTGGTTAGAGCATTCGCATGCGAGAGATCTGAGTTTGATTCCCGGCAGGGCGAAATGTTGGGCAAGTTTCCTCACTCCACACGCCTGTTTACCTAGCAGTACTTCACCCACAAAATATATAGTCAATTCACTTTACAGTATATTCTTTGAAGCGCTTTGAGACGTCTCGAAGACGTGATAAGGTTTATTATTATAACAATCGGACACAAATCTCACAAAAGCTCGAGATTTGATGATGCAGCGTTTTCATAAGTCAATGTACCTCAGGCACAGAATGTAGTGCCTGAAAATCGAGACATTCCTTCCCTTCTACTTTCTTCTAGAGGGATCAGATGGCTTAGTTAGTAGCACTTCCAGCTACAATCAGAACATTGTTGGTTCAAGCCCCAAGACCTTGAGCTACTAGTCTCGGCTGACATTCTAATGTTTGCAATGTCAGAAGTGGCATCCAATGGATGTGATGTTAAAGTGAGGCCCCGTCTGCCTGTTCAGGTGGATGTTAACAATCCCATGGCCCTGTTCAAACTGAGATCGAACTTATCTCCCAGTGTCCTGGCCAACAATCCTCCAGATAAAATGAGTCATTCACTTCATGGCTATTTGTGAGTCATTGCTGTGCACGATATGTCTGCAACCTTTGCCTACAAAAGACACAGCCACTACAATCTGCGGTAAATCTTACAAAGCGCTCTGAGACAATACGATGATGTGATAAGATGCTAAATCAAATGCCAGGATTATTATTATTATGTTTATTAATACTCCTGTTACCTGGTAAAAGCCAGAAATTGCAGAATAATTTCGTTGCACTGAAGATAGTCTGCTTCTTCTTTTTGCAGGTTAAGATTTGCAGCATCCTGAGGGTCAAGCACCTCAGCGAGCTCTTTGTTATCATCCAAGATCTCAGGGAATCCAACAGTACGCATCTGTGCTAAAGCTGCTCTCGAAGTCACAGACCTGCTGCTGGGAACAAAACAGAGCAATATTAACACCAATCATGTGTCAAGTTAGACATCCAGTCGTGTGAAATCAATGTCCTTCCACCACTGGGACCTGGTGTATAATCTGCACCGGTCAGAAAATGTCTCCTTTTAAACATCCTAAATTAAAATTAGTTCAAGGATGGATGAACAACAAAAAATGGATTCAGTACTTCCAAGTGGCACTAACGTGGCAACCTGCTGAAAGGATCATAAGGACAATGAGATTAGGTACTACAAAGGTTATTTTGCTGTAGTGAGTGATAGGTGTTCTGCTGTGTTTAAGACTATTGTCAGGGCAACATGGTGGAGTTTAGAGTTCTACAGTGATGAACAGCACAGTGCTCTGAGACATTATCCTACGTGAAGGGCACTATGTAAATGCACATTGTTGCCTGTTGTTGTCCAAAGTAAGAATCGGGCTTCCCACTTTGCAATCATTCGCAAGCCAGCTTCACTTCCAGCTATATATACGCAGCATTAGAAAGAACTCAGCATATATTAACTCATATTTGAACAGTGTGTGCACTTTGTGTTTTTTTGATTGCTTGACATTAATCCACAAATGGGTCCCACATTCCAATTTGCATTTGAAAGCAGTGCTTTAAGCTGCCTACCTATCCACTAATGGTTCTTGGGTTTTATTCAATCTCTGAACTCAGGCCTTGCCCAGCTGTACTATACAAGAGCAATACAGTGCCTAATGTCAAAAAAAAATTCAGCTGTTGAGATTACTATCCAGTAGAAAATTAAGCCCAAGGAAGATGGTGTGTGTCACAAAATGATTGATTATTCTGTATCAGAATTTTCATTTCTTTGGATATTTTGTGTTGTAGTTTCCATAAAAAAAATCCAGTAGAATTTATTTTTTCAGGGATAATGAAAATAAGGAGTCATTGCTGGAAAATAGGTTATTTTTTTTCCTCTTTGTCTCCCAGTGACAGAAGTCAAGTGTAAAACATAAATGGAAATATTATAGAATATAAGGATGCACTTCCATATCTTGCGAGAGGCAGAACATGTAAAATGTTATCTTTCATTCATGAAGGCGGCTTGTGCTTCGTCTAAGATCTGTTCCAGCTCATTCTGAGATATTGCCGAAGGCAATAAGAGAAACTGGGCAAGTTTCCCAACTGAACGGATGAAAGCACTCTGGAAGAAACACAAGCCCTCGCACAACATGAAAAATATACCCTCTAATTGAAGTGTCTTAAGAAATGAATGGGGAGCATAGCTGAACAAATCTCATCTTTTGTTCCAAGCAGCAAGAATATTTGCTGACGTCTTATTCCAAACGGTGTCCTTGAACTTGCTGATCCCAATGGAACCATTTCCCTCCTATAGTTAAGTGACTTTGCAGTTATTAATAGGTAATAAAAATTACTCGTAACGGTTATTGTTGCATCTTTTTACAAGTACCGAATGGCCCAGTGCTACTAAGTGCTGGTGCTACAGCGCTCTCTACCATTAAATTCTTTGCATTCCCTACGGACCATAATCTTTATGCGCTGTCTGCAAGAAGCCAAGTGGTACATTGAGTCAAATCATCAAACTTCTCTGAAAAGGGAGGAAAGGTAAGCACTCAGCAATGTGACCTCATTCACATAGATTATCTTTATGAGCAGATGTGTACCACAGACCCATGATTGGGACTTCACAGGCAATAAAATGGGCCTCAAGTCAGACATCAGTCTTTGAAGCTCTTTAAGATGGATATCCTGGTGCTTTACAAGACTCTTGTCTTAATTTAAGAAAAAGAGCAAGAAATGGAAAGGAAACAGCAAAGAACATCACAATTTGTTTTACCAGCCCATAGTCAGGGAAGCAGTGAATGGGAGCCAACACTATTAATTGCACTATTCACATGATGATTCTATTTGAAAAGAGCAGGGAGTTTCTACAGTGTCCAACCAACAATCTTCCAGATTAAATGGACACTTATTCATGGCTTTGGGTGGAACTTGCTGTGCACAAATAGTCTGCAAATGCAATGTTTTCCTTAAATACAGCTATTACACTTCACAGCAATTACTTGTGAAACGCTTCAAGAAATTTTGACATTACAGGAACTACATCAAATGCAAGGATTATTGCCTGCCTGTCCGACATCGAGTCCTGGACGAGAGACAACTTTCTTCAGCTCAACGTGCGAAAAACCGAGGCCCTCCTGATTGGCTCACGTCAGCGCCTCCGCACCTCAGGCGCTGACACCATCAGCATCCAAGGCTGCACTCTCCACCTCTCAAAGCCAGTCAGGAACCTCGGGGTTCTGTTCGACCCTGAGCTGTCCTTTCTCCCTCACATCCGCACCACAACCGGCACCGCCTTCCATCACCTCCGGAACATCGCCAGACTACGGCACTACCTCACCCCTCACGCTGCTGAAACCCTGGTTCACGCCTTTATCACCTCAAGGCTGGACTATGGGAACTCTCTCCTCGTCGGCCTTCCCGCCACCTCCCTCCACACTGCAGGTCATTCAGAACTCTGCAGCTCGTGTACTGTCCCGCACCAGGCTTCGGGACCACATCACACCCACCCTCGCTCGCCTCCACTGGCTCCCCATCCCCCAGAGGATTGATTTCAAGATCCTCATCCTCACCTACAAGGCCATTCACGGCCTTGCTCCCTCCTACCTCTCCAACCTACTATCCCCCTACCTACCTGCCCGTACCCTCCGTTCCTCTGGCTCCGGTCTGCTCCACGTCCCCCGCCCCAACCGCCCTACTATCGGTGGTCGGGCCTTCAGCCTCTCAGCCCCGAGGCTCTGGAACTCCATCCCCCAGTGCCTTCGCCGCTTCCTCCCTTTCCTCCTTCAAGGCCGGTCTCAAAACCTTTGTCTTTGACCGTGCCTTCAGCTCCCCCCTCGACTCTCTTCCTCCTCCTCGCTCCCTCCCTTCCCTCCCCTCACCCTGACCATTTCCCCCCTCCTCGCTCCCTCCCTTCCCTCCCCTCACCCTGACCATTTCCCCCCTCCTCGCTCCCTCCCTTCCCTCCCCTCACCCTGACCATTTCCCCCCTCCTCTCTCCCTCCCTTCCCTCCCCTCACCCTGACCATTTCCCCCCAATGCTCGGGTCATGACCCAACTGTGCAGCGCCTTGGGACGTCCTCCTGACGTGAAAGGCGCTCTATAAATGGAATCTTGTTGTTGTTGTTGTTGTTATTGTTATTATTATTATTCCATGGTGTAGCTAGTATGTATGTGTATTATAGTAACATTGATGCAAGGAATTGTAAAGCACCACCACAAAATGTAATTACATTTTTTTGTAGGGGGAGAAACGCTAAAACAAAATAGCCAAATGTCTCAAAATGTGGAAAGCTCTATACTACCGGACAGTTGCCTTTAGGTTCCGTGTAAATGTGTTTAGAGTTGTCAGCTGCTGCGATGATGAAGAACTAATTTATTGGGAAGAGATAATTTTCCATTTCTCTCTGATTCTTGCTTAACATTACATTGATTATTCATTAAGCACTCAAAGTGTGACCAGTAAGAAGTATACTTTTCATATATAAACCCGTTATGTGTGTGTAAATACTGCAGAAACCCCATTCTCAGACTCAAATAATTTGAATTTGGACATTTCTGTATTATTAAATTCTCAATAGATTTTGATATGAGAATATGCCAGGAATCACCGATTTGCTGTCCGTCTATGGCTGGAAAACAAGATTCTGTTTGAGACGTACACAAACCATCAGTTTCCCAAAGGGCAACCAACCAAGGTTCATTTAAATCAGAGCAAGACCAAGAACTAGTCAGGAATCTCACGATTCTGGTTCATGAGGTGGTGTTTCAAGCAGTAACAGCACTTATGGGAGACATTAGAGGCCCTTAATGTACTCAGAAAAGAACAATCTGGCTTCCGTTCCGGTGAGGAATGTGTGGAGCAGGCTGTGCCTTTATACATTCCATACATGTATGTTGCTCTACATCGATTTTCATAAGGTTTTCAACCTCATGACCTCTCGTGAAGAAGTTAGAAGATACAGTTCTTTCCAACAACAACAAACAACACATCACATTTGTATAGCGCCTTTCACGTCGGGAGGACTTCCCAAGGACATTCCAAGGCACTGAAAGCAGTTTGCCAGTGTTCTGACCAGCATTTCTCACAGAAAACATATTATTTGTTAATTTGTCTCATTGTAGAATTTTGCTTGGGCTCCGTGAAATAGCTGAAGTTCTGATAATAATAATAATATAATCCTTGCATTTGATACAGCGCCTTATAACTACTTCGAGACGTCTCAGAATATACTGTAAAGTGAATTAACTGTATAAACAGTCGTGATTGACCAATTCTGTCCCCACAACTGAAGGATAATCTGGGTTAGCAATTATTCAAAGTAAACAGAAGTCGCAGGGTACACTCAGCAGGTCAGGCATAGATATGGAGAGAGGAAAGTGAGTTAATGTTTCAGGTCGATGACCTTTTGTCAGGTGTTTCAATGCGAAAAAGAAAGCATCATTACTATCAATATTCTATAGTCCCCCAAGTGCCAAATGCAATGCATTTACGTACAATACTGGATTGTTTTAAAGTCGGAGAATATTCTGTGACTGAAAATGACTCTGTTCAGACCTCAAAGGAATGATTGAGAGATGGTATAAATATGACAATAGCTAGTCAAAAGATTAATACGCTGGCAGTAGTATTCTGCACAGATATACCAAAGAACCCAATTAGAAAACAAACAGGGTTTTCAATTTACAACAGGCTGAAAGTACTCAGCAACTCCAGGATGCAATAATCACCAGTTATACCTGTTGCACACAAACTACTCATTCTAAGTGTCGCAAGTATCATATCGACTTAAGAGGCGAAGGCTCTAACCACTGAGCTGCAGGACCCAACCAGGCGGTTCTGACAGTTTATTAGATCATCGTAAGTCTTTTAACCCCATCCAGACTTTTCCTCCATATCCTTAATTACAACAACAGCAAATTAAATTATAGCGCCTTTCACATCAGGAGAATGTCCCATTTACTTCCCAAATATCTATCATCTCCCTTTTAAACTTCTCAATGATCTCTGCCTTCTCTGCAGCAGTGAACTCCATATGCTCTGAGATACAACCAGGAAGGTCAAGTTGTTATCAAAATGTTTTCTGATCTAACTTCTAATCAACAGCACTAATTTGAAGACAATGTCCCTTCTTTTGGATGGCTCTATCAGAGTGCGGTGCTCTTCCTTAGTTTGCTCATCAATTCCTTTCATTTTTTTTGTTGGTTGATATTGCTGCTTGTTGCTTGAGAGCCTCACAATGATGAGCTTAGACCTGATTCCAGTAATGTCGTTTCTCCTCTCGCAGCACTTCATCCACCACTTTGTTGCTAGTTTTATAATTACAAGAACGTGCAATTATACAGTGGCCCTCAAGCGGGTTAGCATCTCAGGAGCGCTTAAACCCCTTAATTAAAATTAAACCCTGGCTAGCCGGGTGGGGGGAGAACCGGTGCGGGGAGCCAGAATTTCTGGCTAAGTGTAATTACAATACTGGTACTTGCACTGTAATTGTTAGAATCAGAAGGTAGCTAATAAACTACCTTGTGCTCGAATGATTCAAACACTCTGAGTCAAAGTGGAACTCCCTAGCCACCGCGAGCGTGAGGTGAATCGCGAGTCTACATGTGGCTGCAGAAATCTACAGAAATGTTTGTTTAATTGTTAGATTTCAGGCCCAGTCCAGCTAGGTTCCAATTCCAGAAGCCGTGGGGTTGCTGTAATGCTTTTCTTAATAAGATAAATTGGTTTCATTTGATATAAATAATAATCCTTGCATTTGATATAGTGCCTTATCACATCTTCGCGACGTCTCAAAGCGCTTCACAGGATATACTGTAAAGTGAATTGACTGTATGTTTGTGGGCGAAACGGGGCACTTTTTCATCAAGAGATAAATAGGAATGAAGTGGCGGAGGAAGCAGGAAGCAGGCTTCGAGGGACAAAAAGTCTTTTCTCAATACGTGAGTTTAACTTGAAAGCCCAAATTTCTTTATAACTTCAGAAACATTCAAAACTATTACACTCAGAAAAAAAAGGGCTCGAATGATTCCCACTCACAATGCAGGGGGAGGGGTCACCATGGAACAATTCAGATGTAGGTTGGCTTGGAATTAAGACTCTTACCTGCGTGTCTGTGTCCCCAGGGCAATGACTGGTGCATGCACTGGTGTGAAAGGCAGTTCCCGCAACTGGTCAAAACCTTGTTCCGCAGCAGTGTCGGTGCCTCTGGTTCTGCTGATTGGAGATTCCTAGGAACACACATTTTTTTGTTTGAATCCATTTTTCCAAAAGTGCAGGAGAAACAATTTCCAGCATTCCTCTCACCCTCCCCCCTCCTACACCATCACTACCTCTCGGGGGCTTTGCTCAGACCAAAACAATTTGCCAACAATTGTGCCTCCTTTAAATAATTCAGCAACAACTTGCTCTGAAAAGCATGTGTGTCACGGTAAGTAATTACCCTGTAGGAGTGGGACCGTATGTCCAAGCTTGTCATTTACAAACTAACTCTAGATACCTTCCTCCCTCTGGCCCCGCAGCCAAAAGGGCAGTGCAGTATTCAGAAAATTGTAAATCCTCAACATCTCCCTCTGTGCTGTTTGGAGCCAATTTTCTAACTCAACAACAAGCCCTTTTGAGTGATGTTGATTAATGGTATACAAAGCAATGGACTCCCAGCTCATTAATCTCAGATTCTCTGCACTTTGCCTTGATATATAAACTCACTCGTAAGGTTTAACTGTTTTGAACTGGGCTTTCACAGAATCGTCATTAGTTTTATTTATGGAAAGTGCGCTTGAGTGTCTTCAGTTTATAAGTGTTTAAATAAAAACTTTCTTTAAAAATAATTCCATTCAGGTGAAGGTGGATGATGATCTCTGGCTGGGGATCATTCCTTGAGAGCCTGGGCTCTTTCGATCTATGTGGATCAGTTCCACAGAATTAAACACAGTTGAACAATACAATTTGACACTTGAAAATAGGCTTTTAAGTGATTAAGTGTAATCTCAAGGGGAAAGGGGTTTGGTTCACCCCACACAGCACCTATAAAATTCAGACTATTTAGCCACATCATTTTATTTTATAAATTCTTGCACCAAGCTTTTTTAAGGTGTATTCATAAGTGTCAATATAATGGCAAGACAAATATCATTCTCTTTCTTATCTATATTACAAAATAAATGTTTTTTTNAGCCCTGGTGTTTTTCCTGTATTGCTGGGTGTCTGATTGAGACGTTGAATTGTTTTAGGATTTGCTGACAAATGTTCTTTCTCCATCCAGTTTGCTCTGATATCTCATTTAATTTTTTTCAGTATTTCTTCCTGTCTCTATAACTGACAAAGCAGATTTATTTCTGCAAAATCCTGTCAGTTTCAATCTCTCTCCTTGTTTCCTTATTTCTGCACTTCAATGATTCCCTGTATTTTCCCCTTTTTTTCTTGAGGTCATCCGTCATTTGATGTCTCCTTCTGGTTTTCCCTGCTTCTTGGTATTCTGTCATTCAATTCTGTCATTGTTCTCTTACTTGGTATATGCCATTCAAAGTCTCTCTTTTCCCTCTGGCATACCTAACAGTCACAGTATCTCCCACCTTTGATCTGATTCAGTTCTGGCTGTATAGTGTCACATACAATCAGGCTGGACAGAAATCTCCATCCAGTGCTATTGCAGTAAACGTTAGAGCGACCATAGCCCTTCAGATTCTGGCTGCACAGACTTTATTGAAGATATGTGTTTCAGATAACAGAGTAGTGCCTAAAGAAATGTGTTGTACACCATACATAAGCCTTTAACTCTTCCCATTGCAATGCAATGTACCTTCTGACACAATGCTTACCATTACAGACTGCCCCCAACCAAATTATAATTTATGGTTTCTTATAGTGAAACCGAACTGAATTAAAATATATAAATGAGCAGAATAAGATCTCCCACCATGAGGGTGTATAAAGCTTCTGGGGCTGTAAATGTAATTTTACAAGGAAAATATGGTTTCAAAATAGGAACAATAAATCATAGTGAAAAACTACCTAACTGGAAATGATGACAATCTCTTGAGTTGGGTGAAGGTGGGGGGGTGGGAGAATGGAGAGTTCAGCTACTGCTGTTCTTACTTACTGGAATGCCAGTGTATTGGACTGAAGTCATAGAGAAGGGGGAAAGCTGAGAGCTAAAATGTTCCTGCAAGGTTATCCTGTCTGAGTGGCTGATGCTCAAATACCGCGATGACAGAGCCAACTGCGAGAGAGACAACTGCAAGAGAAGAAATGAAGCCACCGTTGAGTGTGAAAAAANCACTTTAGCATCTCTCTGACATATCTGCGATAAATCATTCACAAAGCAATTGCATAAAATAACCCTTCTTAATGTACTATTTGCATGGATTCTAAATACAAACCTTAGGAGTCTGAAATAACAGACAAATACTGAAATGAAAGGCAAAATACTGCAGATGCTGGAAATCTGAAATAAAAACAGAAGTCACTGGAGATACTCACAGGTCAGGCAGCATCAATGGAGAAAGGAAAGTATGTTAACGTCGGAGAAACGTTTCATCGACCTGAAACTGTAACTCACTTTCCTCTATCCATAGATGTTGCCTGACCTGCTGAGTGTTCCCAGTGACGTCTGTTTTAATGCTGGAATGAGACGCTTTTGAAAGAAAAAAGTAGGTTAACAATTCAGATGTTATTGGAAAACACTAGTCCCTTTGCTGTGGATCAACCTGATGTTCATTTCCAACTTTAATTCCACTTTCCAACATTTGCAGTTAATCTTTTTAGTTTTATTAATATTTAGTTTTATTAAATTTTATATTCCGGGAAAAAACATCCATTTAATACAAGCAATTAATATATCCTCCACTTCACATAAACTTGGATAAGTCAATCCAAAATGGCAAATCTCTTGAGTGCAAACAAACATCATTCTAAAGTGACCTGGATAACCACCTGAGCACTGTACTCTGTAAAGGGAGATTAAGGAGAGCGAACAGGAAAGTGAGATTAATAGGTGTCAGCTTGGCTTAGTTGGTAATGCTCTTGCCTCTGAGTCAGGAAGGTAATGGGTTGAAGCCACTGTTAGGATTTTGAACTCACAATCTATACTGACAAATCCAATGCAGTGCAGGGGGAGGAATGCACTGTTTTGGGGTTGTTAAACTGAGCTCCTGCCTGGCTTTTTCAGATGGACGTTAAAGATCCAGGAACTACCTGAAAAGAGAAGGAAGATTCGCCATTACCCTGGCCCACAATCCACCAAATAAATAAAATTGGTCATTCACCTCTGCTCCGCAAATTGGTTGCAGCATTCACCTACAAATTTACTCTATACTTTGGAGTAAAATCCTGTGAAGCTCTGCGGTAAGTAGCTTACCAAAGCAATGTCCTACACACAACCATTAAGTAACTGACCAATTTGATCTGGACTACAGTTGGCCACAAAGTAGAGTGAAACTCCCTTCTCTCTTCAAACAGTGCCATAACATCTTTAATGCTCGCCTGAAGAGCCAGGAGGGACCTCAGTTTAACATCGCGTCTGAAGAACGGCACCTCTGACAAAGCAGCTCTCTCTCAGCCCTGCATTGGAGTTAGCTTAAACGATGAGGTCAATCATCTGTTGAATCTAAAGAAAAACATAGCAAAATCAATTTATTGCCACTTCTGTGGATAAATTAGTATCAGTGGAAAGCTTATTTAGAAAATGCATTCCAACAAATGGTTGTGAGTGATCACAAGGTTTGCAATAGCTTGGCAAGCTTCCAACACTTCTTAGCAACAGACTGTGCTTTTCTTCCAGATTTCACAGCCATTAAGTAGCTTACTAAAGCAAGCAAATAATATGACCTAATGCTCCTCTCTTGTCAATCAGACCTCATCCCTCACCAGTACACCAGCTGTGTAGTTCATCATGGAGCAGTGTCACTAATATAGTGAAAGTCAATCAGGATGCTACTGAGAAATGAATGCATTTCCTATATACCTTGCCGAACCGACTAAACAAAGACTTAGCTACACAGTCTCTTATCTGTGATGAGATAAAACTAGGAAGATAAAGACAAACTGTAAGAGTTTTTACAAGTACATAAAGAGGAAGAGACTATCAAAAGTGAATGTGGGTCCATTGCAGGCAGAGACAGGAGGAATTATAATGGGGAATAAAGAAATGGCAGAGTCATTAAACAAATTTTTTTTTTTGCTTCTGTCTTCAGGTTAGAGGACACTAAAACACTACCGAAAATAGGGGGGAAGCTGGAGGCTAATGTTAGTGAGAAACTTAAAGAAATCAACATCAGTAAAGCAATAGTACTAGAGAAATTGATAGCATTAAAGACTTGATGGCCTGCATCCTAGAGTGTTAAAAGAGGCAGCTGCAGAGAGAGTGGATGCCTTGTTTTTGATCTTCCCAAATTCTATGGATTCTGGAACGGTTCCCATTGATTGGAAGATCGCAAACATAACACCGATATTTAAGAAGGGTGGGAAATGGGGATCTATAGACCAGTTAGTCTGACATCAGTGGTGGGGAAAACACTAGAGTCCTTAATTAGGGACGTTGTTGTGGGGTACTTAGAAAATTGTAACATGATTAGGCAGTCAACATGGCTTTACGAAAGGGAAATCATGTTTAACAAATCTTATAGAGTTTTTTGAGGATGTAACTAGCAGGTTAGATAGGGGGAACCAGCAGATGTGGTGTATTTGGATTTCCAGAAGGTATTCGATAAAGTGCTACATAAAAGGCAGTTGAAAAAGATTAGAACAGGAAGAAAACAGAGAGTAGGGATAAACGGGTCCTTCTCAGATTGGCAGGATGTGACTAGTGGGGTGCCACAAGGATCAGTGCTTGGGCCTCAATTATGTACAGTCTATATCAATGATTTAGATGAGGACATATAACATATCTAAATTCGCGGACGATACAAAGATAGGTGGGAGAGTAAGCTGTGAGGATGACACACAAAAAATGCAAAGGGAAAGGCAGGTGAGGTGAGTGGGCAAGAAGGTGGCAGATGGAGTATAACGTGGGGAAGTGTGAAGTTATTCACTTAAGTAGTAAAAATAGAAAAGCGGATGATTATTTTGTAGAGGGGGAGAGACGAGGCAATGTTAGTGTTCAGAGGGATTTGGGTCCCTACTCTCTGTTTTCTTCCTGTTAGCCACTCTCCAATGCATGCTAATATATTACCTTTCATTCCATGGGCCCTAATCTTATGCAACAGCCTTTTATGTAGCACTTTGTCGAATGCCTTTTACACCATCACAAAGTTAGTATGCAGGTACAGCAAGCAACTAGGAAGGCTAATGCCATGTTGGCGTTCGTTGCAAAAGGGTTAGAGTACAAGAGTAGGGAAGTCTTGCTGCAGTTGTATAAGGCCTTGGTGAGACTGTATGCAGTTTTGGTCTCCTTATTTAAGAAAGGACATACTCGCCTTAGAGGGAGTGCAGCGTAGATTCACGAGGTTGGTCCCTGGGATGAGGGGGTTGACCTATGAGGATAGGCTGAGTAAACTAGGCCTATATTCTCTAGAATATAGAACAATTAGAGGTGATCTTATAGAAACATATAAGATTCTTAAGGGTCTTTACAGGGTAGATGCCATGAGACTGTTTCCCCTGGTCGGAGAATCTAAAACTAGGGGTCACAGTCTTAGGATTAAAGGTCAGTCTTTTCGAACTGAGTTGAGGAACATTTCTTCACTCAGAGGATAGTGAATTTGTAGAATTCTCTATCCCAGAGGCTATGAATGCTCAGACATTGAACATATTCAAGACTGGGGTTGATAGATTTCTAAAGGATAGAAGGCTTAAGGGATATGGGGATAAGGCGGATAAATGGAATTAGGATAGAAGATCAGCCATGATCTTATTAAATGGCGGGGCAGGCTCGAGGGGCTAAATGGCCCATTCCTGCTCCTACATCTTATGGACTTATGACTGCCTCAGAACTCCGTGCATTTCTAAATGGCTTCGATTCATGGGCTCAGCGACCTTACCTTAGTTAAATGTGTCAAGGACACCAGAGCAGGCAGCAGAGAACTTGTAACGGGGATTTCACTGTACTGATCAGTGGCAAATGAAATTCTATAGAAACAAATTCAAGGTACTGCATATAGGAGGCACATGTACTCCATAGATAGCATAAGAACTTTCCAAAGGAGAGATGACAGAGTCCCGAGGGTCTTAATAGGCATTACTCACCGTGTCCAAACAGTGTTGATCTGCAATAAATAAAGTGAACAGGATGCTGGCAAATAGATGAGTTCAGTTCCCCAGAATTCATGCTCAAACTATACAACATTCTGTCATTCTGCACTTGGGAGAATCGCGTACAGCTGTACAAGGCCACTTAGACTAGGTGTATCTTCTGTTTGATCTGTGTTCACCTTGAATGAGAATCCAAATTGTTCCACGCAGGGTAATGCAGTGTATCGCAAGGTATGAATATACCACCTCCTGTCTCTTGTTAAAGTTTGAGTTGTTGGTTATTGTTGTTTGAACCATGTATCAGAGCGTCTGCCCCTCGACGTTTATCACAAGAGCAAAATGATTAATGACTGCACATCTAGAGGGCTTTCATACTGCAGCTGAGTCTTCGCGAGATGCTTGTACACTTGCACTCTGTTCTCCTGCTGCAATGAGAGACCAGGTTTGTGGAGCGATCTAATTATCGCTGCAGTCTTCTTTGCTGCAGACTGGATTATGCTCGACTGAGGTTAGATTCACTTTGACATTCATGACCAGGGGCTTAATACTGTAGCCCTCATGGAGTCGCTGACACGTGCAGTATATCAGCAAGTAGGCAGCTGTGAGGGTGAAACCCAGCTAAAGGCAAACAGAATCATTGTTTTCCTTTTGCAAAAAAAAATCCACCATTTAGCCCAGTTTAGCAGGATATAATACAGCATGAGGGATTGAATAGCTGTAATAAGAATTGTACATTGATGCGTTGATAGAAGATAATTTCCAGTGACCCCTATTAGTCAAAATCCCAATTTGTGGCAGTAATAGACAGATAATTACATAGTGATCAGAAGTGCAGGCTTCAGACTGCATGTTATATTGCTGATAGCTACCAGAGATCACTGCAAACTTATAATAAAAGCTAACAGCCCTCCTCCCACATCACAGTCCTGCACAGGGGTGATTAGTTTCTATTCAAGACCTAGATAACGGCAAAGACACATAATGCAGTGAATCGCTCGAATAAAACAGTACCAAAGAAGTAGAAGAAGTGAACAACTGGTTTAAGTATTTTGCCAAACTTAGATTTTGAAAGTATTCATATTGTATGAGAGAGTAAACACTGGAAGAGTTTAGGTCCACAAGAACAATTGGGGATAGAGCTCTTGAGTTTTGAGTTCAACACAGTGAAGACATAGACAAGTTTGGGAAATGCATTCACGTAAGCAGTGGCCTTTATGGAATCAATAACGATTTTGCCCACAAAATATACAGTCAATTCACTTTACAGTATATTCTGTGAAGCGCTTTGAGATATCTCGAAGACGTGATAAGGCACTATATCAAATGCAAGGATTATTATTATAATAAAGTAAAAAAAAGAACATTTTACAAGGGGCTCAGAATGCAATATTACTATTACTATTATTATTATTATTATGCTATTGTTTTGTATTGTATCATGATTCCATTGTAACATTACGTTATATCTTAATATTGAACAGAATTGTGTAAAATTCTTCAAAATTAATCTCAATTTAGAAGTTTCTTTTAAAAAGGCGGGTGGAATTTCAAGCCTCAAAGGTAAGGAATATTTCTGCTACTTGACAAACATTCTGATCTCGTCCCATGCTATTGGGAAGTACAAGGTTTATACTCTCATGTGACAGGTAAAGAGTTTTTGTGCACATTTCAGCTAGAGAAGGATGCTGGTTTCACCTGGCAGCAAACTGCTGGGTTGCTGTCATGGTTGGAAATTGGTGCAACCATTTGCATGAAGTGGTGGGGTTAAAGAAAGACTAAAAAGATTCTTAAAAACATTACTATTCACCCACTCACCCCTGGGCCTTGTGGAGATTCCTGCAGACCAGCAACATCGGAAATGGATTTATCTAAAGACAAAAAGTAACAGTGTAGTGAAGCGTTCCTCAATCATCTCAGTATCAATGAGAAGTGCACAGATTATTTGATGGTCAAAACAGTAGATTTCACACTGACAGACTTCCGCTGAAGATCTGTAAGGTTAATCTCGGTTTGCAGTTGAGGGTAGCTTAGGTATCTATGAAGTCAAGCATAAAAAGACCCTCTTTTTTTAAAAAAAGGAACATTTTCCATTAAGCAATTTCACTTAAAGCAACAACAACAAATTACACTTGTACGACGTTATACAGAGCAAGAGGGTGTGATGGGCAATTTTAATGAGCAGCTAGAGGGGTTACCAGGATGGGCGTTGAAGTCCAGGACACTCAACTCATTTAAAAAAAACAGCTAAAATGTTATAATAAACAGTCAGATGGTTATTGGGAAAGGAAAGGGCCTCCTTCATCCTAACTGCTCTCAAGCGAGGAGTTGCAGACCTGCTGTGATAATTAACTTGTCTTCTCATGGCAGCAGGTTTTAGATCCTTTTAATTTCACTCTAAATTTGTGTCCTTATCTCTCATCTGACATTTAATACAAAATGTGCTCAACAATTTGAAAAATCAATAACAATATTTGCTAACAACATTTTTTGCATTAGTGTCAAGTTTTTTATTAATGTAAACATTAGCTCAAGGTAGATGCAAGCAATAGAAGCATGACAGGAAGAATGTGTTAGTGGCAGGGGAATAAAACTACTTGCACAGTACACCTACATCTAATACTGTCATTATGCCATGTAATATACAGTGATGGCTTAATAAGGTATGTCCTGTATCATCAGAAAGACTCATTGTAAAGGCGATTTGATGCTATAAGACTGTCACCTGGGTTCAAGGACACAAAAATATTCTGCTGGAGATGTTAAGATTGCCTCTAGCAGATATGCTGCTACACAGTCTCAGACAGCAGTGCAACCTATGAACCTTTGTACACATAAAGGACACTGCGTTATGAATACTGAGGGAAGGAAGCACGTATGAATACTGTGCAAGGACAGTAGTTAAAGTTGCTAAAACTGGCCTAAGTACAACAGAGTAGTGACAGGAAATCAGCCATGATTCTCGATCCTGATCGAGCTAACCAGCATCCCCTCCCCTCCCTCCCTTTGCTGGAAATGCAAGTGTGTGTACGTTGAGGTAAAAGAGTGTTGTGTTCAGCTTTGATGCCTATCCACACACAAATAGCCGGACAATATTCGCAAGTTAGGCTCCCACCTGAAAATTACTACCTGGCTAAGCTATCCAATGCCATGTCTTAGAAAAGAGAAAAATGAGTCAATAGCTCCTACAGTAAAGACCCGGCGTCCAAATACAAACTGAACCGACTGCTTTCCGAACTTTGGCACAATCTTAAATTTTAGCCAAATGGTTTGAAGCCTCCGAACGTGTGATTGTCTGGGTTCCTGGAGTAAATCTGTGAACAGATGAGATTCTCCCCCACACCCCTTCCCCCCTCCCCTCACCTTATTGAGCCCACTATGCAGGAAAAAATCAGCAAACAGCTCATTTTTTTTCAATGTCATCAGAGCAACGGCAAATGTTACAAATTAATAATATTATTATAATATTAAAATATCAGAATGTAATAATGATGTTTATTATATATTACCGTGTAACAGTGACATGCTACAATGTAATAATATTAATAATTATAATATTAAAAATATATAGAAATATGTAGAAAAAGCTTTCTTGTCCAAATATTCAACCGTGCTGTTGTGAAACGATAAGTCTATTCTTTAAAACTGCTCATGTGTGCCTCCTACGGGCTCAGCTAAAGAGCACCAGTGGCAGAAACCTGGTGTGCACTCTGGCTTCTGTGTGGGAGGGCTGGATATTATTGGGAAATGCCAAAAGAAGAAATTCCCACAAGAAATTAATCATTTCCTTTCTGTTCTGAGTTACAGGGGGAAAAAAATGAGACCCAGTACATCACATCACACAGCACTACACTCACACTTCAACTATGCTAGAAACTGGGAGGTTTAACAACAACAATAGAAAACCAATGTGACTTTGATTCCTGTAAAGGAACATTTGCATGAAATGCTTCAGAGGGAAAGGATTAGATTTACACAACAAACACTTCAAAATGCAATTTTACCAGCCAACTTTCACATCACAAATCAATCTTCTAACCTGCCGAACTCATTGCAGGGCTTATGTCAAATCATTACACTCCGACTCTTGCAGTCTTCCCACAACTTGTTCAGCACGAATATTGTAGCGTGCACGCCACTATATGAAAGGTAGCTTCACAAAGTGTCTCATTCAGTTCTTTCACAGCTCGCTGTAGGGCAGCAGATGGCATTCTGATAACTAAATTCACAAGCTTCCCATTTCTAAAATGAGCTGAAATGGCTACTTGTAATAATAATAATCCTTGCATTTTATCACCTTGAGACGTCTCAAAGCGCTTTACAGAATATACTGTAAAGTGTATTTTGTGGGGGAAACAATGTAGTAGAATAAGGATGCATAAATCAACTGTACTTTCTCCCCACATCCATGCCATGACCACCTCCGCAACACTGTCCGACTCCTACACTGCCTCACCCCTCAGGCCACCAAAACCCTCATACACTCCTTCATTACAACCGCACTCGACTATGCCAACTTCCTGCTTGTGGCCTTGCCCCCTCCTACCTCTCCAACGTTTTCACTCCCTCTGCTCAGCAGGTTCCGGCCTGCTCCATGTCCCCCGCTCGGCCCGGCCCACCATCGGCGGTCGGGCCTTCAGCCTCGTTGCCCCCGCCCCCTGGAACTCCATCCTTCTTCGACCATGCCTTCGGCCAACCTTCCTACCGTCTCTGCCTTCCACCCTCCCTGATCCCAACCCCACCTCTCCGGCTCGGTTCCTAATCCCTGACTGTTCAGCACCTTGGGACGTCCTCCCGACATGAAAGGCACTTTACAAATGTAATTTTGTATTGTATTGTAAAATTGTTTCAAGAAGAAACTAAAGTTCCTGGAAATTAAAAAGATTCAGGATTATTGGACGATGAGACAGTGTGCAAAAGGAATCTTTCAGGAAGGTGGGTGGGGAGCGAGAAAGACCAATATCTACTGCCTGAAATTGTTACTATTTAATATCATTGTGATTTCCTGTAAAGTACTTCACATACCCTGTAGCTTCAAGAATCAATTAGTGACAATTTTCCTGGGGGGGAGGAACTAAGCGGGGTCTCCTTGGATCATGTGCTTGACAAAGGATTATTAGAGGAACTGATTCAAACCTCTGTAGATCGGTTGTTAAACCAGGCCATTCACCATTTGAATGATTTGCACTCAGATATAGCAGGTATGATATCAAAATGACACCAAACTGGGGGAAAGTGGGTGGTAAATGATGAAAAGGATAGCAAAAACATGTAGGAAGACATAAATGGGCTTGCAGAATGGGCCAGATGAAAATTAATATAGAGCATTGTGAATTGATCACCTTGGAAGGAAAAATAAGGAAGCCGATCATACTCTTGCTGGTAGAGGAATAATGGGATAATAATAATAATAGGAATAATGTGTTCTGGCCACAATCCCTGAAATAAAATTGGTCATTCACTTCATAGCTGCTTTGTGGGAAATTGCTGTGCACAATTTGGCTGCCACGAATGCAAAACACACAGTTACTGTACTTAATGGTATATCCTGCTAAAGCTTTGGGACGTCCTCCTGAAATGAAAGATGCTATATCAAATGCAAGGATTATTATTATTATAACCTAAGTCAGATTCACAAGATTCCTTATTTTTCCTTCCAAGGTGATCAATTCACAATGCTCTATATTAATTTTCATCTGGCCCATTCTGCAAGCCCATTTATGTCTTCCTACATGTTTTTGCTATCCTTTTCATCATTTAAAGCAGCACACGTAAACAAGGGAATAAGCATTGCAAATAAAATTGTTGGCTTTAGGTCTAGAGTACAAAAATAGTCATGTTAAATATTTATATAAAAGCTTGGTGAGACCATACTTGGAGTACTGGAGTGTTTGGGCATAACTTGATCACCCCAGTAAACTGAGCTCTCATTTTCAACCATACAATTACACAGGGCAAACATAAGAGGAAGGACCCTCCTATGGTGTCAGCAAATTGATGGAAATTTTCCAACAGATGTGCACACTGGTAAAGTCTGTAACCACCATCACGACACCAACGCTGGTAAGTCATTTTTCAAAATAAACAGAACTTCAGAAAACAGAAAAGGAGAAATAATTGTTCTAAAGCTCTGCTAAAATACATCAACGACAGGATCTTCAATGCATCACTGCCATTTCTAATCACCTCTGCTGGATGCGCTCGTTTTCCTGAATGAGTGCTGAATGATTTGTTTAAAACAGCGCCATGAAAATGTGAACCAAACCTTCCTTACAAATTGCATTCACGCACATACAGTGATATTTTGTAAAAATGCACGCAATAAACTTACCTAAGTGAGACTCTATGGGCGTGGTCGGACGGAGTGGTTCCTCTGGCCCAGTTGTCGCCACCTCCTCTGAGCTACGTGCTTGAGATTTAGAAGGGCAATCGAATCGGAAGCTGATGGTGCCAGACTCCACTTGTCTCACCTGAAAATTAGGAAACAATTTTCTGAATCTAGTTATTTAACAAGCAATCATGTAACTGCTTATGGCGTACAGTCTGATAATGGAGTGTCTGCATGGCGTGATAGCGACAACAACAACAAATTGCAACAACAACAACATCACGTTGGGAAGACATCCCAGGTCAAGGGTTTGCACACGAGCTGTGGGTTGGAGTCAAGTGGGGTGGAGGGCAAGGGAGTTCAGGAAGATGAACAAAGGCACGGTCAAAGAGGAGGGTCTCGAGATGGGCCTTTAAGGAGGCCAGGGAGGCATCAATGCAAAGGGACTCTGGGATGGAGTTCCACAGGATAGAGGCAGAAAAGTTGAACAACAACAACAACAAAAAAGAATTACATTTATAGAGCGCCTTTCACGTCGGGGGGACGTCCCAAGGCCCTGAAGGCCCAACTACCAATGGTAGGGCGGGCAGGGCATGAACTCAAGCTCAGAAATTTCAATAGAAAGGGCATTAGTTTCAGTTTCACTCAGTTCTCTCATCCCTGCATCAGAAGGTTGGAGGTTCTAGCCCTACTTTGGTATTTGAGTTGACGGTCTAGGCTGATATTCCAGTGCACGACTGGAGTGGCACCCCGTTGTCACAGGTTCCAAAATTTAGATGAGACATTGACTGAGAATTTTTCTCGGTATCCAACTGTGGGGTGGGGGGGTCCAACCTTTTGGCTGCTGAGGGCCGGAAGCCCTATTTTTACGTAGGCCACATAAGCAATATTTTTGTGTTTCCCTTCCGGAAACATAACATAACATTTACAGGTTATGGAGGGACGGGTGGGCCAGGTGAAATGGAGGGAGGAGGTGACCTGTTGCACCACCCTGCTCCAGATAAACTGGTTACTTTGGACATTTGGAAAATGTTTCATTCCGCAGCTGTGCAAGAACCCGAACAAGAACAAAACCATTCTCAATTTGCCTCTCAAGTACATGTTGCTACCCAGGAGAATGGAGGTTTATTTGTAAACCGAAGTGCTGATATTCACAGTTGGGGTGAAAAAATGTGACAATCAATGTCATAGTTACCACTAGCAAGAAAGCTGATCATGTCATGCAGCGCAACAGAAAGCGTCAAAAGAAATAATTCATTGTGATAGATAAAGAATTGGGGGTGGACTTTTCAGATTGTGATAATCACTGCTGATAGGATGTCCCATTTTGAAGAATGTGCCAGAACTGTGCACTGCGTACCTCTAATGAGCTCATTGCTGTGGAAGGCACCTTGTAAACCAGCAGATTGTTGGGATTGGCTAGCGATCCTCCATGAAGAGGTAGTGTTACTGTCGAGGTGGCAGCCTTCAAGGGAGGATTCCAAACAGCCCACCGGATCGTGTGCATGTAAGCAGTCTCAGAAAAGGAGGTAGCAGTGTTTGCCTGTAAAAATAATAAATATGTATTAGATATATTCTATAGAAATACACTGCAGGAATCACATTATCTTGTTGCTCAACACCACAGTTTTCAAACGGAGACTCCTTGTGCAACATGCTTTCAGCAAATCTTCATTTCCCAAACACAAATTGCAAGCACATCGAAGGAGCCCATTGTAATGTGAATCTGTCTTGTTTGTGATGCGCCAGTCAGAAAATGGGTAATCTCCCTCCCTCAGTAACAGTGCACTGTCCCCATTTACATTGATCTTGTGTGAGGCTGAATTAAGAATTAAGCAAAGACTTAGAGCACCCAAGCAGACTGACCTCAACATCCTCTCTCTGACCTTCACATCCTTCCATACTCTTACCCTACCATATCTCTGCAATCTCTTCAAGCTCCACTTTCCCACCTACTCCCTACATTCCACTAATTCAGCCTGCAGTACATTTCTGCCCCCCCGCCCCTCCAGCTTTCTCCTGCTCTCCAGAATCCTCCCCCAAAATCCCTGAGCCTCCTTCTAAGCACTCACTTTGCCAACTTGGACTTGATCACTTTCCCCTACTCCACCCCTTCTTTCCACCTTCTTCAGTGATCCACACAACCCTGTAAAGTGCCTCCTGCAATGACAGGTGCTGTATAACTGCAAGTTATTGTAGGAATATCCTGAGCTTTAACAGAAAAAAATACAAAACTTCATCTGAAGTGAGAAAAAAACTGTATATTAGGGTGTTCTGAGGGCCTGCCTCCTGAACTGCCAGAAAAATAACCATTGGAGGGAACTGGATTATTGCTATTTAGATTAGTCTAGAATTATTATATAAGTTTAATACATATTATTTAGGTTAAGAGGGGCAGGAGCTTTTGGCTGGTCTCAAAGAAATTTGGACCCATCCAACCCTGGCAAAGAGCAGTTTCGGTGAGTTTACAGCAATACCCAGTTTGGAGTCAATTTTCTTGAGATCATGAGTTCAAGGAGATCATCTCCCAGACTTCTCCATAACACCTTCTCTGCTCAAATAAACAGCTCCTCACTGTATCAGCCTAGCAACCGAGGACTCAGGAATGCAATAAAAAAAAACACTGCGTTCTTGCAACATTAATTAGATCGATTCGTACATTTTATATTTTCTACTTTAGCTGGAGGAAATATTTTGAGCCGAAAGTGCTCCCATAGACTTTCCTTCCCCCGCAAATCAATCATGTCAGAAAACATACTGAACGTTCATCTGCCACAGTTTATATGCCTCGTTTCTCTCACTTTCAGTTCATCAGAATAATTTACAGCCTCTGTGAACATCTGGATTGCTCACTGCTAGTTCAGCTTCCCCCTCCAGAACTCAGATATCTTCCTTTTCAATGCATGGTCTATAGAGCGACGTGATCCTGGAGTTCTGGAGGAGATTTCAGTTGGTATAAAACGGCTAGTTCACAGAGCCATGGCTGAAACTCCTCCAGAACTCCAGAATCACATTGATCTATAGACCATGAATTGAAAAGGATGATAATATTGGTCACCAGAACTGACCTGCTAAACTTATCAGCAATTGTAGAGCGGTGCATAGTATTGTGTGTTCTACAAAGCTCCAGTCTGTAGCTATCTAATATAAGAACAATTTCTTTTTGAACAATTTCACATGTATATTAATCGTTTTGCATTCCCTGATGTGATGGCTTTGGGTTTCTTGCTTTACAAGGCATGTCAGTCTGGCTCAGTTGGTGCCACTTTCAGCTCTGAGTCAGAAGGTTGTGAACTCAAGCCTTACGTCGAGACTTGAAACTCATATAGTCTAGGCTGACGCTCCAGTGTAGTGTATTGTTGGAGGTGCTGTCTTTCAGATCAGACTTTAAACCGAGGACCCAAAGGCCTATTCAGGTGGACATTAAAGATCTCATGGCATGATTCGAAAAGAGAACTTTCTCCCAGTGCTCTGGAGATCAATCCGACAAATAAAATTGGTCACTCCATGGGTGTTTGTGGGATATTGCTGTGCACAAAATTGTCTGCCACATTTGCCCACAAACAGTCACTTCACTTTACAGTATATCCTGTGAAGGGTTTTGGGATGCCCTCCCGACATAAAAGGCATCTTTGCCAAATGTAAGGATTATTACAAGAAGAAAATATAGATCATACAACCATCCTCGATAATATCAATGAGTACTATATCCCTCTTGTCTTCTACCCTTTCTATCAATGATAAATATGAAGGGATCATGGTCAGTTGGTACATTCACGGCCTAGAATGAAACTGAGCAAAACAGAGGAACAAAATTGAGGAAAATCCTAAATGTAATCCCTGTCTATGTTGAGTTAACTGATCTTGTATGCCGTCAGGAAAGTTGGGGCAGAGATATCCACAATTTCACTTCTCAAGTCTCTACTGCTGAAACCCCTTCCTCCATGATAAATGCACAAGTAGGATAGGAAACGCAGAAGACCCAGATTTTGCTTCATCATCTCCAGGGTTGGGGGGAGGGGGAGGTGGGGAAGTGAAACAACAACAACAAGATTACATTTGTATAGCGCCTTTCACGTCGGGAGGATGTCCCAAGGCGCTGGACAGTGTACAACATTTCAGACGCAAGCTGGGGTCAGGGAGGTGAGAAGGGGGGGAGGGGAAGGGGGTGGCCAATGGCATGGTCGAAGAGGAGGGTTTTGAGGTGGGACTTGAATGAGGCTAAGGAGGGGGCGAGGCGGAATGACTGGGGGATGGAATTCCAGAGTTTGGGGGCAGAGTGGCTGAAGAGTTTCAGTGGCCTGAGTCGGGCAATGTTACGGAGGTGAGGGAAGGCAGAGCGGGTCATGGCTTGGATGTGGGGAGGAAAAGACAGTTAAGGGTCAAACCAGACACCTAGCTTCCTGACTGGCTTAGTGAGTTGAAACAGGCAATAAGAACAAGAAAATTACATTGTTAAAGCGCCTTTCACATCAGTCCCAAGGCGCTGGACAATCAGCGTTTTGGACCCAAGCTGGGGATGGGGAGGGGGGAAGAAGGCTGACGGTTGAAGAGGAGGGTCTTGAAACGGGTCTTGAAGGAGGCAAGGGAGGGGGTGAGGCAGAGGTACTGGGGGATGCAGTTTCAGAGGGTGGGGGCAGAGTAGCTGAAGGCCCGCCTGCCAATGGTGGAGCGGGTAAGGCGGAGGACGTGAAGCAAACCTTAGCCCAATGAGCAGAGGGAGCAAGCAGGTTGGTAGGGTGTTAGAAGGTCACAGAGGTAGGGGGGAGCAAGGCCATAGAGGGCTTTGAAGGTGAGGATCAGGATTTTGAACTGTAGCCTCTGTGTAATGGGAAGCCAGTGGAGTCGGGCGAGGATGGGGGTGATAGGATCACAGAGCCTGGTGCAGGAGAGTTCTGCATGATCTGCAGCCTATGGAGGAAGGAGTTGGGGAGGCCAACTAGCAGAGAGTTTGCTTAAGCTGGATGTTAAGAGGGTCTCGGCGTCCTGTTGTGTGAGACAGTGGCAGAGCCGGGCGATATTGCGGAGGTGGGGGAAGGCAGAGCGGGTCATGGCACGAATGTTGGGAGAAAGGATAGTTGAGGGTCAAACAAGACGCAAAGGTTCTGGACTGGCTTAGCAAGGTGGAGTGTGCAACCATGGATGGTGACGCTGTCAGTGCCTGAGGTGAGGAGGCGCTGACGGGAGCCAATCAGGAGGGTCTTGATCTTATTGACATTCAACTGTAGAAAATTAGCTCTCATCCAGGATTTGATGTCTGACAAGCAGACAAAATGCCTTTGAACCGTAAACGGGGTCTCCTCGGAGCTCCAAGGTGACACGCCTGGCAACGGAATGTCGGAATCGAGCCAGCCCTCTGTGGCAGTCTCGGTAGTCTGGTTCCTGAGCCAGGTGGGTCCACAATATTCCAGGGCAGCCCAGCCCAGCCTGGCTCATCAGCAGGACCTGGAAGGGTAGATCAGTCCCTGGGGGCAGTGAGTCATCCCATTCAGCTCATGTTAACCCTGCAATCCAAAGCCCTAACGGGTAGGGTGGTCCTAGCTGGACAAGCAGCAGGAAAGCTTGCCAGACCACAATATCAATGGCAAGCAATGTGGTTTTAGCTGATTAGACTCCAGCAGTTACCCCAACGCATACTGGGGGTCCCCAAGCTTTGCTCTTGCCAACCTGCGCCTAATACTTTCCGGAATTAGGTAAACAGGATGCATCTCTCCAGGGAGGGAGAGAGAGAGAGAGAGCGCATTCCATTCCAACAACCTATCTCTGGGATTTCTATGTGAAGGTGGGATGCAGGGAATTGGTTTGGAGACTCTCAAGCACGGTGATGGGTTTCCGCATAAATTTATAAAATAAAATGTTATATTTTACAAACAAGAATGCTCAATTTCCACCGAGAATGAGAATGGGCTGGAAGAATATGCAAAAGAGGTTATTTACAAGTATTTAACAGGTTCAAGCGGAGGCTGTTGAAAGCACATCAGAAGGCTGTGGGTGGATAACTTGCTAAACCTCAGACATTCTGTATCTTGCTAACAAGTCCTCAGCCCTCTCTATATCCTGCAAAGCCACAGAATAGCAGATCATTCAGCATAGCAACCAGAATTTGCTGTTTTTCTCTGAGACTTTTTGTGATACACAATACACAGCGCAAAATATATGAAGCACAAAGACTTTCTGCTTTCGGCTTTTTCCGCTTCAATTTTCAACACAAAAAAGACTTTCTGCTTGTTGACGTTCAAATTAAAAAATAATTCGTTTCCATAATGTTATTAATGTTTTAGTACGTAAGTCAATTTTGTACCAGATTTTCTCCATAAGAATCAATGGAATAATTAACCAAAATAGTTATCAATTATAATGTTAAATATACTGCTATTTACTGACAGGTCATGATTTACTGATACTAAACTAATTGAAGATAGATTGTGTTACAATTTAACTAGAAATTGTGAAAAATGAAACAAAATTTATTTTAACTTTTGGTATCAGTTAAATATTCAATGAAAACAATGAATCAAATGAAATAATATTAACTCTTGCATT